AACACACCATGTATTCCATGACCTCATGCAAGTGAATGTCCTTCATACACACTGGATGGCTGGCTTCCAAGGGATAATGGGGCTAGGGTTTCTCTTTTTAATTATTTTATTTTGATAATCTTTACATAGTTGATTAGGACACAAAAGGTCAAGGGCTACAGGAAAATGGGTAAGATTGTCTTCACATTTTTTTTTTTCTGTATCTGGGGGAAGAGGGGAATAAAAGGGAGAAGCCCCATCCAGCCTCCCAACCATCGCAGGGTCCCCGACGTGAGATATGCTCCAAGGGTCCTGCTCAAGAGGTTTTTGATAGTTCAGCTGTCCTGAATTGCAGCCAATCTTGCCATTCCAAGCACAATGAAATCTCTCCAGAATTTGTTCTAATTTGTTCTGTCCTCCATCCTCTGTTGTGATACCAGGTGTCCTCTGCAGGTTCTGATGGATTCCCATATCCTCCATGTCCAGCTGGATATGCTGTCCACTGTTCCATCTGAGCCTCTGAGGAGGCTCAGCTTTGACACATGCACTCCATGGTCAGGCCATGGAACCTTTTCTTCATGGATGGGGTTCTGAGATCAGAAATTCTGACTCATACAGATGTTCTAGTCTCTCCCCTCCAAACCACCAGCCGGCCCCTAGATGCTCATTTTTCTTTGAGAGTATTTTGGTAGGGCCCAGCACAGTGGCCTATTGGCTAAAGCCCTCGCCTTGAATGCGCCAGGAACCCATATGGGCGCCGGTTCTAATCCCAGCTGCCCCGCTTCCCATCCAGCTCCCTGCTTATGGCCTGGGAGAGCAGTCGAGGATGGCCCAAAGCTTTGGGACCCTGCACCCACGTGGGAGACCCAGAAGTTCCTGGCTCCTGGCTTCGGATTGGCACCTGCACGGGAGACCTGGAAGAAGCTTCTTGCTGTGGTTTCAGATCAGATTTCAGCTGTAGTCACTGCAGCCATTTGGGGAGCAAACCAGCAGATAGAAGATCTGTCTCTTTGTAAATTGCCTTTCTAATAAAAATTAATAAATCTCACCATATAGGTGCCAGTTTGTGTCCCAGCTGTCCCACTTCCCTTTTGTCTCTCTGCTTGTGGGAACGCAGCAGAGGTTGGGCCTCCCTCACTGATGGAGGACACCTGGAGGAAGCTCCAGGCTCCCAGCTTTAGGTGAGCTTAGCTCTAGACACTGTGGCCATTTGGCAACTTAAACAGCAGATGGAAGATCTGTTTCTCTCCTTCTGTCTCTCTGATCTGCCTTTTGAACAAACAAATGACTATTTTAGGAAAAAAAAAAAGGTTAATTTTTATTGGAAAGGCAGATTTAAAGAAAGGACAGAGAAAGGAAAATCTTCCATCCCCTGGTTCACTCCCCAAGTGGCCACAACATCCAGAGCTGAGCCAATCTGAAGCCAGGAGCCAAGAGTTTTTTCTGGGCCTCCCACATTGGTGCAGCATCCCAAGATTTTGGACCATCCTCTGCTGCTTTGCAAGGCCATAAACAGAGAACTGGATCAGAAGTGGAGCAGCTAGGACACAAACCAGTGTCCATATGAGATGCTGGTGCTTGCAGGTAGAGGCTTAGCCTGTTGAGCCACCACATTGGTCCCTAATAATTCTTTCAAAAAGAAATACATGGGCCTGGCATGGTGGCCTAGCGGCTAAAGTCCTTGCTTTGAACGTGCCAAGATCCTGAATTGATGCCGGTTCTAATCCCAGCAGCTCCACTTCCCATCTAGCTCCCTGCTTGTGGCCTGGGAAAGCAGTTGAGGAAGGCCAAGGCCTTTGGACCCTGCACCCGTGTAGGAGACCTGGAGGAAGTTCCTGGCTTGAGGACTTGAGATATCCTCCTTTGCTTTCTCAGGCCACAAGCAGGAAGCTGGATCAGAAATGGAGCAGCCAGGACATGAACCAGCACACATATGGGATGCCAGTGCTGCAGGTAGAGGCTTACCTTGCTACTCCTCTAAGCCAGCCCTTGTGTCTTGCTTTCTTTAATTACTGGTTCACTTTGTTGTTGTTACCTTTTTTTTTTTAGACAGAGTGATTATTTTAATGAAGTTATTTATTTTTATTAGAAAGTCAGATTTACACAGAGAAGCAGAGACAGAGAGGAAGGGCTTCCGTCCAATGCCTCACTCCCCAAGTGGCTGCAATGGCTGGAGCTGAGCCAAGCCAAAGCCAGGAGCCAGGAGCTTCCTTTGGGCCTCCCACATGGGTGCAGGGTCCCAAGGCTTTGGGCCATCCTCGGCTGTTTTCCTAGGCCACACACAGGTAACTGGATGGGAAGTAGAGCAGCCGGGATTAAAATCAGTGTCCATATGGTATCCCGGTACGTGCAAAGTGAGGACTTTAGCCACTAGGCTCCCTTGCCGGGACTGTTGTTGCTTTTGACACACACTTTTCTGTTTGGTTTGGCTTCTGGAGTTCTAGGAATTCACCATTTCCACCATGCAGATTAGAAATCAGAGTGTGCACACACACACACACACACACACACACACACACACACGGAAAACTGAAAACATTTTTTTTTCTGGACCACTTGGCAAGTTTCCCACCAGAGTTGAAATTCTTAGAATCCTCTTAAGAAGGAACATTTGGTTTCGTTACAAGTAGACAACTATGTGGAGTCCTGATTTATGAGCGAGCCTGTCATTTTGTTTAAGCATTTTTTTTTATTTTATTACAAAGTCAGATATACAGAGAGGAGGAGAGACAGAGAGGAAGATCTTCGTCTGATGATTCACTGCCCAAGTGAGCGCAACTGACAGAGCTGTGCCGATCCAAAGCCAGGAGCCAGGAACTTCTTCTGGGTCTCCCACATGGGTGCAGGGTCCCAAGGTTTTGGGCCATCCTCTGCTGTTTTCCCAGGCCACAAGCAGGGAGCTGGATGGGAAGCAGAGCTGCGGGAATTAGAACCAGTGCCCATATGGGTTCCTGGCGCGTTCAAGGCGAGGACTTTAGCTACTAGGCCACGCCACCGGGCCCTAAGCATGTTTTTAAAAAATCCTTCCTTTTGGAGTACAAGTTTTTGTTGTTCTTTCTTTAAGACTTTAATTTTTATTGGAACGGCAGATGTACAGAGAGGAGGAGACACAGAGAGGAAGATCGTCCATTAGTTGGTTCACTCCCCCAAGGATATAAAAAGAGCCTATTTGAAGCCAGGAGCTTCTTCTAGGTCTGCCATGCCGGTGCAGGGTCCCAAGGCTTTGGCCTGTCCTCGACTGCTTTCCCAGGCCACATACAGGGAGCTGGATGGGAAGCGGGACTGCCAAGACAGGAACTGGTGCCTGTAAGGATTTTCAGTGCATGCAAGGTGAGGACTTTAGCTGCTAGGCTACTGCTCCAGGCCCAAAGTTTTTTCAGTTTTGATCGCTGCCTGCCCCTCTTCCCAACACAAAATAATGTGGGCAGCGATTTGGGAGTGATAACATTCATACTAGCTGTCAGGGTAAGGAATAGTTGAGGTCACAGGCATTATTGCCTAAACAGAGTTGAGAAATGTAGTGTTGCCCACAGCAAAAACTTTGTCTATTTTTAGGAGGTGAAGCTAGCACAGCCAGCAGAGGTCTTGGCTAATATTGGAGGAGAGACTGAATCTGAAAGTGGACAGTTCGTTCTATTCCTTAACATCGTTTTGGCTACTAGATGGCCAAGCCACCACACAAATGATTGCACCATCTCTGTGCTATTTACAGGAGACCATTCATCGCTCTCCCTCTCTCCACTGTTCCCTCAGATTTATTCATTTATTTGGATGGTAGAGTTACACACATACAGAGGGAGAGAGAGAAAAATCTTGTTCCCTCCCCAAATAACCTTAACAGCCAGGGCTGGACCAGACTGAAGTCAAGAAGCTAGAGCCTCATCTGTGTTCCCCAGTGGGTGCAGGGGCCCTTGTGCTTGGGCAGTCTTTCACTGCTTTCTCAGCCTCATCAGCAGAGGAGCTGGACGGGAAGCAGAGCAGTGGGAGGAGCGAGGGGGCAACGAAGACTCCAGCCTCTACTCATCCAGGAACGGGAGGCAGGGGCTCTGCCCAATGCGCCACAACGCAACCCCTTCCCACCCATCTCTTACAATGACCCATGAGCCGCAGCGGGCTAGAATTAGTGAACACCGCAAGTGAAAGCCCCAGTTAAGAAACAAAAGACTTCCCTATGGAGCTGAGCCGTCTCCATGCCTGGGTGCGTACGCGCGCGCACACACACACTCACCGCCTAACCAGCCTGCGGGACCTGCTAGAGGCGCTCTCCACTGCCCACCTGCGCGCACACACACAGACGCACATCCCCTAACCATCCTGTGGGACCTGGTAGAGGCGCTCTCCACTGCCCACCTTCTGCCTGCTGACATGAAGCATTTGGTGAACGCTCAGAAAGAGGTGCTCCCCTAATAGGAGACTTTAGGAAGAAACATTCTTTGCTTTTTTTCGGTACCCAAGGATCTCTTCCTCAAGGCGATAAGCCAGGGCAACCCAGGAACTTCCTTCAACCGGGGAGCCTAACCACATCTGGTGTCCAGGGCACAAGCGTGGGCAGCGCTTGTTCTTGGGCACACCTGTCTGGGGTCTGGCTAACTCAAACTAGGATTTCGCTGCCCCTCCACGCTGCGCACACCATCGAATCCTCGCATTCTCCTATGCCCACCTGCTCAGGAAGCCCCAGCCCACTTTCCCGCGCACAGCTTCCCGCGCCGAGGCCCTCCCACGCGCGCGCACCTGTCCTGGGTTACCGGCCGACCAGGACGCACACGTGCAGTCGGGCCGGGTGAGAGATGAGGGGTGCGGGATGCCGGAAATGCGGCTGCGCCCAGCACTACTTTTAGCGGACCCCTCGGGCCGGGCGGAGGGATCCTCTGAGGAGCGCGCGGAGGGATTCGCGCAGGACGCGCGCGGGGGGCGCGGTGCCGGCGACCCGGGACAGTGCGCCTGCGCCTGTGGCGCCGCCGCCGCCTCCTCGGCCGCTGGCGCGGGGCTGTCCGCGCGAGGGAGAGCCGCCGGTTCCTGCCATGGCGCAGATACTCCCCATCCGCTTTCAGGAGCACTTCCAGGTGAGGACGAGCCCCGCCGCCGCTTCTGCCGGACGGGCACAGGGAGTGTGACAGGGGGGCGGGTCGCGCGCCGCGTCCTGTCAGTCGCCCCGCTGTCCCCGACCGGCTGCCCGCTGACTGAGCGACCGGCGGCTCCGGCCGGGCTCCCACCGGCTCCCACCGGCTCCCACCGGCTCCCACGGACACCAACCGGGCTCCCACCGGCTCCCACCGGCTCCCACCGAGCTGCCACCGGGCACCCACCGGCTCCCACCGGCTCCCACCGGGCTCCCACCGGGCTCCCACCGGCTCCCACCGGCTCCCACCGGCTCCCACCGGCTCCCACCGGCTCCCACCGGCTCCCACCGGCTCCCACCGGCTCCCACCGGGCTCCCACCGGCTCCCACCGGGCCAGACCCCCAAACCGCCATGCCCCGTGGCGTCTGCGGGCTCGGTAGCCGCACGTGCGGACGCGCTCGGGGCTCGGTGACTCGGGGGGGTGGGGCCCGCAGCGCAGCCCGACGACCCGCTCCCCGCTCCCCGCTCGGAAACTCCTTGATCCTAAATGTCCCTTGGCTGGCATCTACGATCCTTACACATCCGAGTGCCCGTGTCAGGTGCAGAGTGCCCCTTGGTGGGCGGGAGAGCACCGGGGAAAGGCATGGGGATTGGTGCGGTAGTCTGAGCGTGGCTTATTGTTCACTCCTTTGGCATTGTTCTTGTAAATAACGGAAGCAGGTGCTCCAAGACCCTTTGGGTCTAGCGCCTGCGAAGCTTGGTCCCCGTTTGTTCTGCCAGCCTTTTTGTGGGCGTGCGAGCTTGGGAAGGTTTCAGAAAGTCGCTCCCATGTCCTGTCCTCGGGCTCACGTGTCACACACCTGCGAGGGTGTCACTTTTCAAGGGAAGAATTGGGGCCCGGACGTTGGATTTGTGAGGGCGCAGAGTAACAGCTATTGGTCCCGGGCTGAGTGCTTAATGTGAGAGAATCGTAGCTGTCTTCTTCCCAACTTTTCTGAATGAGGAAAAAGAGATTGATTTAGGAGTCAGATTTCAGGTTGCATGGGGCGGTTGCTGTGCTGCCAGGAATGAGGGGCGGGGTATGCGATGGTCCGGTTTCTGCTCTACAGGTGCACTGAGAGATGCGCAGAGATGCAACTGAGAAAGGTGTGGGGAGATGGGGTGTGTTACCGTGGCCAGCCCGGCCGAGGTTGGCTGAGGGCTTCCACCTCTTTATCTCTGGCTGGCACCACTCCAGCCCCTAAGTTGGGCAATGCCACTAAAGTGACTGCTGTGAAAAAAATGATAGTCCTTTAGGAAGTCTGTTGGCAATGGAACCAGGGGCCATCAGGGGGCTGGACATGTAGCCTGGCAGCTCAGATGCCTGTGGAGTACCCAGGGGCCCTGGCTTTGGTTCTGCCTCCCGACCCCAGCTTCCTGCCCATCCATGTGGGAAAGCTGGGTGGAGTTCCTTGTTCCCATAGTGGGCTCCAGCCAGCCTGGGCAATTGTAGGTATTTAGAAAAGTGAACTAGTGGCTGGGCATTTTCTGTCTCCATCACTCTCAAAAAGGAAAAACAAGATTTTTAAAAAGATGAGTTTATTTTGGCATACGTTTTTATTAGAAATCCATGCAGCCTTTTTCTACTATACAGTTTCAAAGGTTTGTCTATGGGAAAGGCAGAGTTCCACAGAGAGAGGGAGAGATGACTGCAGCTGGTGTGGTCTGAAGCCAGAAGCTTCTTCCAGGTCTCCTACGTGGGTGGCAGGGACCCACGCGCCTGAGCCGTCCTCCACTGCGTTCCCAGGCGTACTAGAAGGCTACTGGATGGGAAGTGGGGCAGCCACGTGGGATATCAGCATCAGGGGGGTAGCTTAATCCCCTGTGCTACAACACTGTTCCCCAGTTTTTTAAAATATATTTGGGAGGAACCATTGCATCCTCTGGTTCATTCCTGGATACCCCCAACAGCAAGGGCTGGGCCAGGTTCAAGTTGCGAGGCAGGAACTCCATCCTGGTCTCTCCTGAGTGGTAGATTCTAGTGCTTTGTCCGTCACCACGCAGCCCCCAGCTCTGCTTTAGCAGGAAGCTGGGGCAAGGAGCCAGGGCTGGCAAGCCGTCTTCTCCCACGCTGAATGACCTGAGCCGTTTCTCTTGGCACTGGCTCTTTCCATTGAGTCCTCATGGTGGCTGGAGAGAGTCTTGTTTCTACCTGATGTAACCGAGGTTCTAATCAGGCAGAATCACATAGCCGCTCTGGCGTCCATCCTGCCCAGGTCTCTGCCTCCACCACGCCCGCTCACCCCCACTGTCTAAATGTGCCGATTTCCAAGGACAGGAAAGTGGCCAGTGTTTACGAAGTCCCAGAGGACTCTTACCTTCCCCGATCTGTGAATGAAGCTCTGTGCTGGCCACGGGGAGTCACTGCATGAGGCTGGGCTCAGCTCCGTGCCTCTGTTCAGTGTGTTCTGTTCTCATCACAGACCTTGGGGAACTTGGGCTTGGTTTGGAATCTCTGATCCCACCACGCCCAGCATGCTGCCGGCCAGGACTTGGAGGTGATACAGCCGGGACATGAAGGACCGTGTCCCTCTGTGTCCTAGATGTTGAACCTCCCCCTCCCCCCAACAGTCTGCTCTGGCCAGGGTCACAGGTCGGCAGCAGGGCGCAGCCTGTCTGTACTGAGGGCTCTTCCATTTTTTTTTTTTTTTAATTAAGCTTCATTTATTAAGAGGAGTGCCTCCCGTGGCTCCATGGTTTTGTGGGGTTTCTCTTTCCTTCCTGCACACACCTGTTCGCGTTGTGTCCCTGAGTGTGGGGTCTGCCCCGAGTCCTTTGATCTTCTCACTCAGGTGACTTTTGGGTTTCCCCCATATGCTCAGTGCTCCTGCGGAGCCGCCACGTGGTGCGGTGGGAGGCAGGAGCAGCTCACTGCTGAGGTGAGCTCAGACTGAGCCAGCAGATCAGAACTCCTGTACTGACTGGCCGTGGGGATTTGGGAGGCAGTGTTTGTAACCCTTTGTCTTCCTCTTTGTAAAAGAGATGTAGAGTTCGTGGAGGTATGAGTCCATTTTTCATTGCTGTCGTCAGTCCTGAGGACTCGGGAGCACTGACAAGCAGCGTGACACTCGTGGGGCCTCCCCGCAGTGGGTGGCAGTGTGGAGGGCAGCGTGTCCACAAGGGAGCAGGGGCCCGGGCTTTGTGCTCTCTGTAACAACCCTGTCTGGAGAACTGAGTCAGTCCCGTGGGCCATGGGGTCTGGCTTGAGCGCTAATAGCCCTGGACCGCACACCTTGGGTCTCACCACCTCAACCCCACATCCGAACCCGAGCCCATGGCGTCCTTAGAGAGTTGCCGGGAGGTTTGGGGTTAGTAGCCGTCCGGTGCCGACCAGAGTCCAGCACATGGTGAGTGTCTTCAGCTGATGCTGCCGTCCTGAAAGCCCCGTGGTAGAGGAGACCGTTGTCTGGTGACTGATTTCCTCAGAGATGTCATGTTCAGACTGGGGTACTTCCTTATCCCTAGACGCCTCTCTACCCCAGGTGCCAACCAGGCATCTTGGCTGCCTGCACGGTGCCCGCTCTGTTCCTCATCCCCTGATGTCCACATCATTTTGCCGCTGTTGTCATGACTGCCCCTGCTCCCAGGCCATGCCACTCCGCTGCCCACCCTCCCCACTCTCCGCCTTGCCTCTGGTCCTGCCCACCCCCCTCCCCCGTCCCTTCTGCAGCACACTGGCACCATAATCCTCTTGGAGGCTCGGCATCTGCCCCTCGGATCCTGTGGGCAGGGTGTGGCTGGTGAGTGCCCTTCAAGGGCTGCCCAGTCCGCTGCTCAGTCCTGCACCTGCTGGACTCTCTGGCTGCCTTCACGTCACTCCACAACACGTGCTCCTCCCTTCCCTCATGTCTGCTGAGTACCACTCACTCCAGGGGACTCGGTGTGCCCAGGACCTGAGGGGCTCCCCCTAGAGCAGCCTTCTTCCCCTGGCATTGTGCTTGTCCGATTTCCCTTCTGCACTGTAAGCGGAGCAGTGTGCTGTGCTTGGTTGAGAGTGTTCACATGTAGGGAACAGCGGTGTGGGACTGAGAACCACAGACAGCTTGAGGTTGCGAGATGGAACGAAGATTCTGCGAGGAGCCCTCGAGTGCTGTGCCCCAGCTGTGAGTGGAAGCTGTTCCACAGGACTGTGGACCAAGGCACAGCTCAACACACGGAAAAGGGAGTTGTAATTCCAGAATAGTCTGTGGGGAGTGGAATTCAAGTAAAGGTAGTGCCATTAAAAAAGAATGGTCCTAGGGCCTGTCGCAATGGCGCAGTGGTTAAGGTCCTTGCCTTGCACGCCCCGGGATCCCATATGCGCGCCAGTTCTATCCCAGCAGCCCTGCTTCCCATCCAGCTCCCTGCCTGTGGCCCGGGAAAGCAGTCGAGGACGGCCCAAAGCTTTGGGACCCTGCACCTGTGTGGGAGACCCGGAAGAAGTTCCTGGATCCTGGCTTCGGACTGGCATAGCATCGGCTGTTGCGCTCACTTGGGGAGTGAATCATTGGACGGAAGATCTTCCTCTCTGTCTCTCCTCTCTGTATATCCGCCTTTCCAATAAAAATATAATAAATCTTAAAAAAAAAAAAAGAATGGTCCTGAAATGCAGAGGTGGAAGCTAAACATAGATTTTGATTTTTCTTTTTTCTTTTTTTGCCTTAATTTAAACATAGCGTTTAATTTTATTGTCCATGAACCTTTTGAAGTGAGCCGTGTAAACTATAGGAGAATGACCACTGGAGCTCTGAGACTGGACGGGAGCCTTAAAAATACCTGTGTGGGGCCCGGAGCGGTGGCCTAGTAGCTAAAGTCCTTGCCTTGAACACACCGGGATCCTATTTGGGCGTCAGTTGTAATCCCAGTGGCCCCACTTCTCATCCAGCTCCCTGCTTGTGGCCTGGGAGGACAGTGGAGGACGGTCCAAAGCCTTGGGACCCTGTACCCATGTAGGAGAAAGAAGTTCTTGGCTCCTGGCTTCGGATTGGCGCAGCACCGGCCATTGTGGTCGCTTGGGAGAGTGAATCAGTTGGGGGAAGATCTTCCTCTCTGTCTCTCCTCCTCTCTGTATATATGACTTTGCAATAAAAATAATAAATACATAACTCTTTAAAAAAGAGTACCTGTGTGGGTGCTGGCGGTTTAGTACCTCAAGGTGAGCTGGGATGGCCACATCCCATATCCGGGGCAGTTTGAGTCCCAGCTACTCCGCTTTCTGTCCCTGGGCTTCCAGATGGTGATCCAAGTGCTTGGATCCTTGGCACCCATGTGGGAGACCTGGATGGAATTCCAGGCTTGGGACCGTCCCACCCCTGGCTAAAATTGGCAGGCATGTGGGGAGTGAATCAGAGGAGGGAGGATCTCTCTTTGTTACTATTTCAAATAAATAAGTATTTAAAAGAAATGAAGAGCACTTCTGGGCTGTGGCGTCCTGGGCCTAGGAGCATGTCAGAGAACCTGCCCAAGTCTCCCATGACTCCAGCTTCCCGTTAGCCAAGACCCTGGGAAATAGCAGATGATGGCACGAGTTTGGGATTTATGGCTTTGACCTGACATGCTTCTGAAATTTAAAAAAAAAAATCTCAATAAAAATTGTTTTTGAAAAAAGGAACCCTTCTGCAGGACATTGTATCAGAATCTCAGAAGTGGGAGGGCACGGTGGTGCCTCCTGTCAGGTTGACCGTCTCCTGAGTGTTAGTCATTAACAAAAGAAAGAGGCTACTGTTGGGAGGCTCCGACAGGAAGAAAGGCCAGGCTGTGGCACAGCAGGTGGCACTGTGTCTGGGGGGCTTCAGGCATCACTCTTCGAGGGGCAGCTACCACTGCCCATTCTGTGCGTGTTGTCGCTTGGCAGCCAGCCAATACTGTGAAATGGTTTAAATATACCACGAAGGCCAACAGCTGTTAGCTCACTGTGTCCGAAGGAAATAATACACACCTCTGTATCATTTCTCTGAAAGATTCTGTGTGGAGTGTTTGCTTTTGCCTGTTGGTATTGGAAATGCATGTTAAGCAGTCACTTCCCTGCTGACATTGTCACCAGGGGAGGAGAGAGGCCCACTGGCCTCAGCAAGCCTCTCCGGAAGTGGAAGCCCTGTGCGAGAGGCCACTGCCGTGGCATTGTGGGTAGGCAGGTGGTAAATGAGTTTGGATGAGGAAGAAAAGCAGATTGTCCTTTTAGGATACAGCGAAGTGCGAGTCCCTAAATGCCCAGGGTTGTCAGTGCTGTTCCAATTGACAAGGTTCAGAGTCACTATGTCACAGGAGGAGCTTGGTCAGTGTCATGTGTTTCCATGGAAAGGGAAGGCCCAGGGAGAGTGGCTGTGGAACTCAAGCCTGGGTGTTCCAGCTCAGACTGCCTGCGTCTGCTCCAACAGAAACACTGTTTTTTTGAAGACAAAAGAATCCTGTGACACAGGGCCTGGTGCGGTAGCCTAGCAGCGAAAGTCCTCGCTTTGCACACGCCAGGATTCAGTATGGGCACTGGTTCTAATCCTGGTGGCACCGCTTCCCACACAGCTCCCTGCTCTTGCCCTAACTCCAGACTCCTGGCTTTGGATTGGCTCAACTCTGGCCGTGGCAGCCGCTTGGGGATTGAGTCTCTGTATATCTGACTTTACAATAAAAATAAAATTTTTTTTGAGAATTCTAGAAATTTTTTTCTTTATTTTTGACAATCTACATGGTTGATTAGGGCACAAAGGCTCAAGGGCTACAAGAAAGTGGATAAGACTAGTATTTCCACATTTTCTTTTTTTTTTTTTTTTTTGTATCTGGGGTAAAGGGGGAGATATATAAAAAAAAATTTTCTGTGACACATGCCCTCCATCCTGTGCTTTTGTGGCTCCCAGCACAGTCCGCAGCTCTCCCGGTGGGAACACGTACAAACGATGTGCTTGTTAACAAGCCCGGAGCCCGGCGCGGTGGCGCAGTGGTTAAGGTCCTCGCCTTGTACACCCCGGATCCCATATGGGCGCCGGTTCTAATCCCGGCAGCCCAGCTTCCCTTCCAGCTCCCTGCCTGTGGCCCGGGAAAGCAGTCGAGGACGACCCAAAGCTTTGGCACCCTGCACCCGCGTGGGAGAACCGGAAGAGGCTCCTGGCTTCGGATCGGCATAGCATCGGCCGTTGCGCTCACTTGGGGGGCGTGAATCATCAGACGGAAGATCTTCCTCCCTGTCTCTCCTCTCTCCTCTCTGTATATCCGCCTTTCCAATAAAAATAAAAATCAATCTTTAAAAAAAAAAAAAAACAAGCCCAGAGGCCTGCCACCTCACAGGGCCTCTGCCCAGCATGCAGCTGCCCACCAGCTGCCCACCACCTCTCCTGGCACCGCGTTCTCGTGCTGCGTGTGCTCGAGGCCTGCTGCAGCTGGCCTCCAGGCCAGGGATGCTGCCGCTGCTCTTGGCTGGCAGCAGGAAGATGCCACGGAGCTGGGGTAGCAAAGTTCAGTGTCAAAATTAGATCTGCACAGATCTCTGCAGGCTCAAGTCCAACAGGCTGACATTTAACGGGGGGTAAATATAGAGTCTTATGCATTAGTTTCAAAATACAGAAAACCTGCGCTGGTGTTGCTTGACAGAGGTTCCCTGAAGCACCATGAAGTGAAGTTACCTTAATTATTGCTGAGCTCCTGAGGTGTAAGTTCCCGAGAGACCTCAGAGTCTTTCCTCTTGATGCTGTGCAAAAAGAATCCTGGGTAACTTGGAAGTAGATCGTGGATTTTCCACACCCCGCTCTTCCTCTTTGAGAGACACAGATACCCTATCCACTGTTGACCACCCAACAGCTGCAGCAGCTGGTCTGGGCCAGGCCACCGCCAGGAGGTGAGAACCCAACCCAGGTCCCCCACAGTGGGGGCAGGGACCCCCCACCTGAACCACCACCTCCTGGTGTGAGTTACAAGCAGGGGCTAGAACCAGGAGCTGAGCTGAAGTCCAAGGCCAGGCAATCCCCAAACAGTGTCCTAAACACCATACCAAACACCTACCCCCGGAAAATATATGTGTTCTTAGATTATGTAGGAGCTAGACATGAGAGCTTAAAAGAAGCAACTTCTTGGGACCAGGGTTGTGGTACAGTGGCTTAAACCTCTGCCTGCAGCATTAACAAGAAGTATTGAGGGCCCGGTGTGGTGGCACAGTGGTTAAGGTCCTCTCCTTGCACGCCCCGGGATCCCATATGAGCGCCGGTTCTAATCCCGGCAGCTCCGCTTCCCATCCAGCTCCCTGCCTGTGGCCTGGGAAAGCAGTCGAGGACGGCCCAAAGCTTTGGGACCCTGCACCCCCTTGGGAGACCCGGAAGAGGCTCCTGGCTTCGGATTGGCATAGCATCAGCTGTTGCGATCACTTGGGGAGTAAATCATTGGACGGAAGATCTTCCTCTCTGTCTCTCCTCTTTGTATATCTGCCTTTCCAATAAAAATAAGATAAAAAATCTAAAAAAAAAAAAAAAAAGAAGTATTGAAACTGAGAAATGCATTTAAATCAGATTTATATTTGATGGTGTTTAGGGAGATGTTTTAAGCGTCAATGTTTGGCTAGTTTTGTTTTGTTTTCTGAGTTTTTGGAAAAACCAGTTTTTGTGTATTCTTCACTCATCCTCTTCCTCCAAGGACTTATTTGTGATGCCTTCTCTGACAGTAAGGTCTTTTTTTTTCCTCAAAGATTTATCTTAAGGACCGACATGGTGGCTCAGTGTCTGCAAGCACCAGCATCCTGTGTGGGTGCAGATCGCGTCCCAGCTGCTCTGCTTCCCACCCAGCTCCCTGCTTGTGACCTGAGAGCAGTAGAGGATGGCCTGAAGTCTTGGGGCCCTTATAACTGCATGGAGACCCAGAAGAAGCTCCTGGCTCCTGGCTTTGGGTTGGCTCAGCTCTGGCCATTGTGATCATTTGGGGAGTGAAACAGTGAATGGAAGATCTTTCTGTTTCTGTGTCTGTTTCTCTGTATAAATCTACTTATCAAATAAAAATGTATAATTTTAAAAAACAACTTAAGAGAATACTGCTAGGATAGAGCTGATCTGCGTCAGAGGGGGAAATTTTCATCAAATCCTTTTGTTTTTTTAAGCTCCAAAACCTGGGAATCAATCCTGCCAACATTGGATTTAGCACACTGACCATGGAGTCTGACAAGTTCATCTGTATCCGAGACAAAGTTGGGGAGCAGGCCCAGGTGGTGATAATCGACATGCAGGACCCAACGGCGCTGATCCGACGGCCCATCTCTGCGGACAGTGCCATCATGAACCCAGCCTCCAAGGTGATTGCTCTGAAAGGTGAGTGCATGGGCTGTTGAAGTTTTGTTTATTGAAAGGCAGGAGAGAAATCTCCCACCTGATTGTTCACTCCCCAGGTGCCTGCTACAGCCGTAACTGCCGACATTCTGATATGGCATGCCGACTTTGCAAGTGATGGGTTAACCCGGTGCACTACAATGCTGGTCCTAGGAACCAGATGAGATTTTCTGAAAAGGATTCTATCTCACTGTAGCTTCTTGGTTACCATAAAGATTGGAGCAGGTGTCAGGCACAAACTGTCATCAGCACTGGTCAGCTTACCCTTAGTGTCCTGCCTCTTAAGACACTGAGGGCCAGAGCTGCTGTGAAGTGTCACCCATTGTAACACACACACACCACGATGGAGCCCAGGACCTGGTCCTGGTGAATATGTAGGTACAGATTCCCCAGGAGGGCCTAGGCATCCTGGGACACAAGCCCAGAGACTGGCGCCTCTCCTGAAATGCAGCAAGGACAGGAGAGCAGGAAGCTCCAGGGTGAATATCCCCTATCGGAAATGCTTGGAGTTTGGGGTAGGAGATACGGCACAGTGGGTGGAGACCTCTTAAGATGCCCACATCCCACACTGGAATGCCTAGTTGGACCCCCCAGCTCCCATGTGCTTCCTGTCCAGCTTCCTCTTACTAAGCTTGGGAAGCAGTGGAGGAGGGAGACCCAGATGGAGGTCCTGACCCCTGGCTTCCGCCTGACTCACACCTGGCTGTTGGAGCCCTTTGGGGAGTGAACCATTGCGTTTAGCTCTGTGTTGCACTCTCCTCTGGTAACAATGCTTTAAGCCAAATGCTTGGGATTAGCAGAATTCTGTATTTCAGAATTTTTCCTTTTTTTTTTTTAAATTTTAGAATTTTTTTTGAATTTTTCTTTTTGAGGTTATTACCACCGGGTATAATCTTAGCAGTAGGAGTATTTGTAGATAATCTTTTGAAGCTCTTTGAAAGAATAAGTTGAGGACCTGGCGTGGTAGGCTAGTAGCTAAAGTCCTTGTCTTTCACACGCTGGGATCCCAGATGGGTGCCTGTTCATGTTCTGGCGGCCCACTTCCCATCCAGCTCTATTGCTTGTGGCCTGGAAAAGCAGTCAAGGACGGCCCAAAGCCTTGGGATTCTGCACCCGTGTGGGAGACCTGGAGGAAGTTCCTGGCTCCTGGCTTCGGATCGGCATAGTATCGGCCGTTGCGCTGACTTGGGGAGTGAATCATCGGATGGAAGATCTTCTTCTCTGCATCTCCTCCTCTCTGTGTATCTGACTTTCCAATAAAAAATAAATAAATCTTTTTAAAATACAAGAAGCTAACTTTAAAAAGTAAGAATCAAAAAATATCGAAGTCCATTTTTAAAATTCTGTTTCTCTTTCTTATTTCTTGGCTGTTTTTCATGGAATACCCACCTTTAGTGTGCTTCCCCCAACCCTATTTCATATTCTTTGAACAATTTGGTACCACAGCAGAGAACTGAGTACAGAACAAAGCAATCAAATACCCCAGCCATGTGTTGGCAATGAATATCTGGGCAAATGGTCACTGTAAGGTAGTCTATGTCAACCAGTGGATTCTGCAGTGACTTCATCGTGCTTGGAATGGCGAGACTGGCAGCAATTCAGAACTGTTGAACTATCAAAACCACTTGAGCAGTGCCCTCAGAGCATGCCCCATGGGGACCCTGCCATGGTTGGGAGGCTCGGTGGGGTTTCTCCCTTTATCTCCTCCCTTCCCCCAGATACAGAAAAAAGGGAGAGAGAGAGAGAGAGAGAGAGAATGTAGAAACAGTGATCTTACCCACTTTCCTGTAGCTCTTGACCCTTTGTGCCCTAATTAACTATGTAAGATTATCAAAATAATTTTTTTTAATTTTATTTAAAAATATTTCTTTATTTGATGGTCAGAGAGGAGAAACAGATCTTCTCTCTGATGGTTTTCTTTCTGGATGGTTGCTGTGGTCAGAGCCAAGAGCCAACAGCTTCCTTCCGGTCTCCCATGTGGGTGGCAGGGGTCAAGACACTGGGGCCATCTTTCACTGCTTTTTCCAGGCCATCAGCAGGGAGCTGGACTGGAAGTGGAGCAGCCAGAAGTGAGCCTGCCAGGCTTGGCAAGCCTGAAGTTCTCTCCCAAAACGTTTTCCTCTGAAGGATTTGTGTTAAATACTTTAAAGCTAGAGGTGAATGTTTCTTTTTTCAAAAGGCAGAGTTACAAGTAGAGCAGGACAGACAGAAGTTCTTCCATCAAAAATCTTTACTTATTAATCCATCTACTTCTTTATTTGAAAGGCAGAGTTACAAAAAGCTGGGGAGACAGAGACAAAGAGAATCTTCCATCTGCTGGCTTACTGTCTCTTACTTCCCACTTAAATGGCTGCTGCAGCTGGAGCTGGACCCCTTCGAAGCCAGGAGCTTTTCCTGTATGGATGCAAGGGCCCAAGCACTTGGCCCTTCTCCTGCTGCTTTCCCAGACACGTTAGCAAGGAGCTGGATCATCATTTAGCAGCTGGGACTCAAGTCGTGCCTATGTGGGAAGCTGGTGCTGTAGGTGGCAGCTTTACCCAGTCCTGACAGCTCCCTTGTCCCAAAGCCTGTGGAGTGTGGTGGTGGAATCTCTGCCCGCTGCTCATTCTAGTGCAATGACCTGAACTGGGGAACTGGCAGACTGCATGCTTTTTTTTGCAACTCCAGAGCTTAGAATGCTTTTTTGTGAAAAATTATAAAAGCCAAAACAGATTTTTCTTGTTTATAGAAAGCATCTGTATCTTGCATTACTGACCCAAGGATGGTATTCCTACTTTTATTATGAGACTTTATATTTTGGATATTTTGCTGTGGTTTTTACAAGCCACTTAAGTTTTAAGAGGCAAGTTGAGTGTGCACGGCTGGGGACTCCAGCTGCCGTGGAGGGGAGAGGCTGTAGCATGGCTCCCCCTTGTGGCCGGCTTATATCCGGCCCGAGATTGGCTCCCTAAGCCGGTTCTTCTTATGCTTCATGAAATGCAGTCCTTTTAAATCCACCCAAGGACAACTTTTCAAGCTAAAGGCAATTTCTCCTGTAGTCCAAGTCTGTTTGAAATGAAGAGATACATCCATACTGTGGGTGGACCTCCAATCCTGTGTTTCTCTGACCGCTTTGTTCTGGCAGGGTTTACATACCAGGAGTCTCACCTGTCCTGACTGTGCTGTACCTGGATTTTGGTGAAGTGACAGAGCTGGGGAGCCATCACCTTCATCTAGTTCTGCTCTCTGTAGTCACTCCCCCAGCCCTTCTGCCTCAGTGCCTTTGCCTCTCATGTGGTCATGCAGCAGTTTCCTCTGGATCCTTTTGGCAGTGTGACTGTGCGTTCATCCAGACTGCAGCCTGGGTTGGTGCCTCGTGCCTTTATTGCCAGCTAACATCCCATTGTAGCTACAGTGCACCTTGTGTCTCCACAGGCCAGTTGGTGGACCTGGGATTGCTTCCGCTCTGGGCTGATAAAGAATATGATTCTTCGAGACAAGTGTTTGGGACAACGGTATCCCATATCACAGTGCCTGGGTTTGAGTCCTGGCTCCACAGCTGATCCCAACTTCCTGCCAATGTGTACCCTGAAAAACGAGCTATGCTTGGGCCCAGCATGATAGCATAGTGGTTAAAGTCCTTGCCTTGAACGAGCCGGGATCCCATATGGGCACTGCTTCTAATCCCAGCAGCCCCACTTCCCATCCAGCTTCCTGCTTGTGGCCTGGGACAGCAGTTGAGGACGGCCCAAAGTCTTGGGACCCTGCACCCGTGTGGGAGACCTGGAAGAGGTTCCTGGCTCCTGGCTTCAAATCGGCTCAGCTCTGGCTGTTGTGGCCACTTGGGGATTGAACCATCAGATGGAAGATCCTCCTCTCTGTCTCTCCTCCTCTCTGTATGTCTGCCTTTCCAATAAAATAAATAAATCTTCATTAAAAAAAAAAAAAACCAAAACTCCTGGCTCCAAGCTTTGGATCAGCTCAGCTCCAGCCGTTACAGCCATTTGGAGAGTGAGCCAGTGGATGGAAGATCTCTTGGTCCTTTTCTCTGTAAATATACCTTTCAAATATGAAGAAATCTTTTTTCAAAAAGGAAGTTAATTGCAAATAGAACTCAAAGATACTTTGGAGGCAAAATATTTTTTAAATCCATAGGAAGTTTTTTCATAGTGTCTATTCTGTGTGAACTCTGAAGAACCCTCATATGCGTGGATTTCTAAGTTGTTGGCACCAAAGGAAACTTACCTTGTAATTCCATTTACCACCTTTTTGAGGTACCCTTGTAAAAGGAAAAACTCAGCTCCTGAAATGCGTTCCATTCGATACACTTCCTATGCTTGCTAACCATTCTCAGCAGGCAGCAGTGCCACTTGGCAGACACTTCTACGTGATGGCAGTTGTCCAGATTTTAAGACAAAGGAACTGTTATGAGCAAAAGTTGGTTCAATGTGAAGGGCTGCTTGTGTAATTTCCCGAAGGTTGGAGGAAGACCTATTTGGTTTTTGCTGCCGTATCTGTAAATGTGTTACTAAAGAAACCAGTCTCTTTGAGATTTGCTTCCATGGAGCCCATTTCTGATTGCTGCCCATATGTTCTGAAAAGAGTCGGGCCTTGGCGTCTTTCTGAAGAAGGATCTTGATGCCAGTAATTGGCCATTCAGGTACCAGTTCTAGCAGGGCACATACCACAAAGGCAGCCTTTCTGCCCTCTTCGTGTTAGCTTAAACCATTATGCTTTGAAGTGATGCTAAGAGGGTTTAGAGTTAAGTGTATAGACTTTTCTTTTGAGTTATTAATTTATCTTTCTCTAACTTCCCATCAAATCTAATGCTAGCTGAGAAGACACTTCAGATTATCAATATTGAGATGAAGAGTAAGATGAAGGCTCACACCATGACAGAAAAGGTGGTTTTCTGGAAATGGATCTCGGTGAACACGGTCGCCTTAGTGACTGAGACCGCGGTCTACCACTGGAGCATGGAAGGTGACTGCCAGCCCACCAAGATGTTTGACAGGCACGCCAGCCTGGCAGGGTGCCAGGTGATCCACTACCGCACCGACACGCATCAGAAGTGGCTGCTGCTCGTCGGTATCTCGGCCCAGGTGAGCTTGGCCTGAGGTGGCCTGAGGACTGCTGCTCCAGCCCAGCTGCCAGTCTCTGGAGGTCAGTAGGTAGCAGGCAGCAGAAACGGGCCGTAACCCACAGAAACATAGGTGACCAAAAAATGTAAACTTTAGGTCCGAGCAGTTCAGCTGGGGTTAGCTGGTGTGTTCTGTCGTGTTGCTCATGTTCATTCTGCATACAGCTATTGACAGTTTTGTGAAAGGGATTGTTGAGGACCTCTGTGGAGCAGGTTGGACCCGTAGTTTTAGCAAAGGTATTCTTTAGACTCTATTTTAAGGGAATGCTACTAACACATGTAATTTTCTGTCCTTCCTTTTCCTTCCTGGAGACTAAGCCGGTGATGAGGCACTTAAGGCCTCCAATATGATTGGCCCTGGAGATGTACAGTCCCAGCTCAGGACACTGTGCGGCCACATATCTCAGATCAGGAAAGATCCACCACAGAGAGGGCATCTCAGCTGCATTTTCCATTATTTTAAAGTGCATTTTGGGGCCTGGCTTGTGGCATAATGGGTTAATAAGCCATTGCTCACAAGGCTGGTATCCCATGTGGGTGCTGTGTTGTTCCACTGCTGATTCAGCTTCCTATAAAAGCAGTAACCTCAGATTTTATAGGGAACAAAGCCTAAGAAGGGGAAAGGTTACACTCGTCACCCACAGCGAATGGTAGGCTGCCATTACTCTGCAGTAGCACAATGGGGTCAGCAATGGCTGCGAGGCTGTGAGAGGTTTCCTTCCCAATGAGTCAGAGTCAGGGGTCTGAAGAAGTGATTGTGGCAGCTCAAATCCCCAGTGGGGAGAACAAATGAGAGACCTGGGCCCAGCATGGTAATCCAATAGCTGAAGTCCTTGTCTTGCACACACATCCCATATGGGTGCCGGTTGGTGTCCCAGCTGCTCCACTTCCCATCTAGCTCTCTGCTCGTGGCCTGGAAAAGCAGTTGAGGATGGCCCAAAGCCTTGGGACCCTGCACCTGCATGGGAGACCTGGAAGAAGCTCTTCCTGGCTCCTGGTTTCAGATCAGCTCAGCTCCAGCCATTGCAGCCACTAGGAGAGTGAACCAGCAGATAGATCTTTCTGTCTCGTCTTCTCTCTGTAAATCTGCCTTTTCAATAAAAATAAGTCTTAAAAACAAAGTTCTCAGACATAGATTACTGAAAATGACTAAAAAAATCTGAGTAACTCTGCAATAATTTAAGGTTGAATTAGTAATAAAAACCATCTACAAAGAAGAGCCCTGGCCCGAATGGCTTCATTTGTTAATCTGACCAAATATCTGAAAACAGTTAATACCAGTCTTCTGTAAAAGCTTCCACAAAAGGGAAAAAGGGTCCATTCTCCAGGTCTTCCTGTGAGGCCTGTGACCAGACAAGAACATCCTAAGAAAAGAAGACTGCAGCCCATTATCCCCTCTGAACTGTGATGAAGAAGTTCTGAACAATGTACCAGCATACTGAATTTAGAAGATTATGAGAAAGCTTGTGTAGTACGACCAAATTGGCTTTATTCCAGGAATACAAGGTTGGTATAATATACAAAAATGAATTAATAAAACCTTGTAGTCATCTTGGCAGAGAGAAAAGCCCGACATCGCTTCGTGGTAGGATATTTATCCAACTAGGGATGGAGAGGAACGATGTCATCCTGACCAGGGATGTCTAAAGGACTCAGTTCTCTGTACAAGACTGAACGCCTCGCCTACGGCCAAGGGCAAGGCAAGGATGGCTGCAGAGGTTCTAGCCAGGGCAGTTCAGCAAGGAAGAAAGGTGCAAGTCATCCCGTTCTGTTTGTGGACAATGTGATCTTGTATACTGAAAATCCTAGGGCCCACTGTAATGTCTCAATTGGCTAATCCTTCCCCTTCAAACGCCAGGATCCCGTGCGGGTGCTAGTTCATATCCTAGCTGCTCTGCTTTCTATCCAGCTCCTTGCTTGTGGCCTAGAAGAGCAGTGGAGGATGGCTCACAGTCTTAGGACCCTGCACGCATGTGAGAGATCCAGAAGAAGGGGCCCAAGCACTTGGGTTGTCTTCTGCTGCTTTCCCAGGCCATAAGCAGGGAGCTGAATCAGGATTGGAGTAGAGGGCCCAGCACGATGGCTCAGTGGCTAAAACCTCACCTTGCAAGTGCTGGGAATCCCATGTGCGCACCAGTTCATGTCCTGGATGTTCCACTTTCCATCCGGGTCTATTTATTTGAAAGGAAGAGTTATAGAGAAGGAGAAAGGAAGAGAGAGAAATGAGAGGAAGTGCTTCCATCTACAGATTTCCTTCCCAAATGACTGTAACAGCCAGAGCGGAACCTGGCCGAAGCCAGGAGCCTGGAGCATCTTCTGAATGTCTCATGTGGGTGCAAGGGCACAAGCACTTGGGTCATCTGTTACTGTGCCAGGCTATGAGCAGGGAGCCAGATGGGAAGTGGAGCATCTGGGACATGAACCAGCATCCATGAGAGATGCTATGGCACTGGCTCACAAATTATCTTTTCTGTGATCTTACTGTTTTCCTAGTGTTTGCTGTCTTTCCACAGTGACATCATGCCTTTAATGACTATTGAACTTAGTTTTTAGAAAAAGGCTTAGCAGTATTTGACTCTCATTGCAGAAACATTGAAGATTTTTTTTTACTCCATCTTCTATCTCTTCTGTTCATTAGTCTCTTTCTGTTCTTAGCAAAACCGTGTGATTGGGGCAATGCAGCTCTATTCTGTGGACAGGAAGGTTTCTCAGCCCATAGAAGGCCACGCCGCTGCTTTTGCAGAGTTCAAGATGGAGGGCAATGCCAAGCCCGCTACCTTGTTCTGCTTTGCTGTTCGCAGCCCTGCAGGAGGCAAGGTAAGACACCCTCCTGACCCCTGTGCCTTGTCTGCTTGCCTGTTACACAGCTGTGAGTCAGCACCATGAGTCTCAGGGGTGGGGCTGAGTGTGGGCCTGGCTCACAGCGCTATTTAGGGTCTATGACCTGGTGTGCACTTCCATGCTTTGCATACCCTGAAGTTGGTTACATTTCCCCTAAAAACACTCTTGGGCTGTCATGGGATAGGATATAAAAAGAAGTGAAGCCCTCTTCCCATTGCTGGGGTCAGACTCGCAGAGGGAGCAGCTGTGTCATCACCAGCCCAGAGCCATCTTTGCCATGGGGACCAGGGCCATAGAAGCTGGGAGAAGAGGCTGTCCCTGGGCATAATGAGAGTTTGATTAGGTTCAGGGGCACCAGCAGCACGTGTTTGGCAGGCCTGTGATTGGGGGAGACCTGAGTTCCTGGGGTTGCAGCATTCACTCGGGAAGCTGCCTAAAGGTGGAGTCCTTATACAGGGACACTTTTCAGAAAAGCTTCCTGAAGCCCTTGAGTAGTCCCCAAGGAGAGGCTGGCATCCCACACTGCCGCCTTTGAAATACACTTGTCTGAATGGCGTGGGTTGGTGTGTGGTAGCCCACTTCACACCCAGGAGAGAACTAGGAGGAAAACAGAAATCAGGTCAGACATCCGTGTTGCTGCTGGTAGAGAGCCGGCCCTGCCTCACCTGCAGAGGCAGTACCTGTTCACAGCCAGGGGCCGGCCACTTCAAGCCTCCCTCTCAGGAGCTGAGTCCAGCCAGTGAGCTCCCTTGCAGACAAGAACTCTCCAGAATGAGCCTTGGGAGGGGGCCATGCTCAGCTATCTCCTGCTGTGAGCTATCCTGTGTCTGCTCCCCACTGCCAGCCAGAAGCAGTGGAAAGGGCCTGGAAGTAGCCTTCCAGCCTGGCCCTGTCTGTGCAGGGAGCAGTAGCCTGGGAAATGCAGATCCCTGCAGAAACCTCGTGTGCTGCCCCAGTTCTGGGGCTGACTCTCAGCTCCCCTAGCTCGGTCACGGCATGGGGCCGCTTGCACACAGCTTCCTTTTCCCTGGTCCCAGCTCCTCCATGTGTGTAATCTGAGCTGCGTTGCTGCCATGTCCCTGCTGCCAGCCACCTCTAGGTAGCACAGCCTGATCCCCTGCCACCCCAGGAGCCTGGTGTCCTTTCCTGTGCCTCCGCTTTTGTCCTCTTCAGTTCCACAGCTCTTGCTCCCTTGTCATAGTGTAGCCCGTAGCAAGTCCCATGGCTCTGGGCCTTGTGCATTCCGTAGGTCCTCAGACTCACTCCAGCCTTTCTTACTGATAGGCCCAGCCCGAGAACTTTCCTAAACTACCTTCTGTCTTGAAGTGCCTGCCAGTTCCTGAGACATTTGCATCTCCTGTTTGGGATGAGACCACTCACCTCTTTCAGTTTTCCTCTTCTCCTTGGCTCAAAACTCCTGTTTCTCTCGGCATGCCATATCGATACCCAAACTTACCTGCAAGGATACCTTGCCCGTTTCCTCTGCCAGGCCACCCTTGCTTTGCTGGTGTCCAGTCTGTGGTCACCTCTCTACTGAAGATTTCCCTCCAGGTTGTTTTGGCTGTGGTATCTTTGGTGTAAATCAGAAGCATAGAGCTGTTCTGATAAAAGCAGAGACAGGCGCTGCAGCCACAGTCATTCCTCCCGACTTGTTATCCCTACACAACCCTCAGGCTCTCAGCCCTGTGCCACAGAAGGACTCGCATGCAGTGATGAGCCCTTGTCATGTGGCTTATTGCCCTGAGCCATGGCCAACGGCTCAGGGAACACATCTGAGCTGGAGCCTTTGGTCTCAAAGATGCCGATCCTGAGGCCCAGAGAAGGGCGAGGAGATGGGTCAGCAGCTTGGAGCTGAAGGCTCCCAGGTTTGCTGTTGCGGTGCCCCTGGCTGCCCTTGGTGATGGGGATCACCACAGGCACCTGGTGAAGGATCTGTGGTGCTTCGTTTGAATGAGTTGCATGGAGCCTAGGCCTGGGACCCTGTTATGCTGCACCATGGTTAGCACCCATCTACCACCACGACTGCATACTTGGACTGACCTACAATTCTCTCCTAGTTGCATATAATTGAAGTGGGACAGCCAGCGGCAGGAAACCAGCCTTTTGTCAAGAAAGCCGTGGACGTGTTCTTCCCTCCTGAAGCCCAGACTGATTTCCCGGTGGCTATGCAGGTAGGCATGTGCTGCTGTGAGCTGCAGCCTGCGCTCTGGCACCTTCAGAGTGGCAGGAAACGCCATCTACAGGCTGCTTTTGCTGCCTCCCGGCACCTGAAGTCCTGACTCTTTCAAACCCATTTGGTGGCCTGGAACACTGGTCAGTGATTCAGAAAGGTCCTGTTGATAGAATGGATGGGTAAAATAGCAAGAGGCTCCCCTGCTCACAGACCAGAGACCCGTGTGTTAGGGCTGATTTTGTGGCACAATGGATTAAAGCTGCTATCTGCCAAGAGGGCATCCTGGCTGCTCTTCCAGTCCAGTTCACTGCTAACGTGCCTGGGAAGGCAGCAGAAGATAGTCCAAGTCACCTATGTAGGGGACCCAAATGGAGTTACAAACTCCTGGTTTCTGAATCCCCCAGCCGTGGCCATTGCAGTCATTTGGGGATGCAAATGGAAGAGCTCTGTCTGCCTCTCCCTCTCTGTATAACCTTGCAGGTAAGTAAATACTTTTTAAAAAGACTAAGTATTCACTGTTGTACATGATCTACAAAGAAGAAAATAGTGCCTGAACTAATCTGAATGTGAAACATGTAAGAATATTTATTTGCTCTATTATGTTGTATGATTTTTTTAAAAAAAAAGCTTTCTTGGCCCCAGTGCGGTGGCCAGATGGCTAAAATCCTCACCTTGAACGTGCCGGGATCCCATATGGGTGCCAGTTTTAATCCCGGCAGCTCCACTTCCCATCCAGCTCCCTGGGAAAGCTTGTGGCCTGGGAAAGCAGTTGAGGATGGCCCAAGGCCTTGGGATCCTGCACCCGCGTGGGAGACCTGACTCCTGGCTTCAGACTGGCTAAGCTCCAGCCATTGCAGCCGCTTGGGAAGTGAATCATCAGATGGGAGATCTTCCTTTCCTCCTCTCCTCCTCTCTGTATATCTGACTTCGCAAAAAAATAAGTAAATATTTTTAAAAAAAGAAAGAAAGGTGAGAACCACATCACAGATTTCCTCGATTTGCTTTAGTACGGGCACTCCACACAGAGCACAGCCTGCAGTTCCTGGCCCACTCTCACTCTCAGGTGGCCAGCAGCATCCCACTTGCCTACTCATTACAGAAAATTCTCCTCTATGATTGCTTCTCTTTGAGTTACTGTTAATCATCTGGTTTGACAAATTCAGTTTTATTTTCTCCAGTCCTTTGGTTTTCCCTGTGTGTTTTAAATTTTTTCTGTAAAAGTTGGTGATCCTGGGGCCTGGCGCGGTGGCGCAGTGGTTAAGGTCCTTGCCTTCCACGCCCGGGATCCCATATGGGCGCCAGTTCTAATCCCGGCGGCCCCTCTTTCCATCCAGCTCCCTGCCTGTGGCCCGGGAAAGCAGTCGAGGACGGCCCAAGGCTTTGGGATCCTGCACCCGCGTGGGAGACCCGGAACAGTCTCCTGGCTTCGGATTGGCATAGCATCGGCCGTTGTGCTCACTTGGGGAGTGAATCATTGGACGGAAGATTTTCCTCTCTGTCTCTCCTCTATGTATATCTGCCTTTCCAATAAAAATAAAATAAATCTTTAAAAAAAAAAAAGTTGGTGATCCTTGGCAAAGGCCAAGGATTAGTAAGTGTTGGTGGAGGGTAGGCTGGGATATAAATTTGATGTGTGGGGTTTTGTCAAATTTCCTGCCTTTTAAAAAAATATTTGTTTTTTTTATTTATCTACCTATTTATTTTATTGGAAAGGCAAATATGTAGAGAGGAGGAGAGATAAGAGAGGAAGCTCTTCTGTCCACTGATTCATTCCCCACTTGGCCACAATGGCCGGTGCTAAGCCAATCCAGGAGCCTCCTCTGGGTATCCCACATGGGTGCAGGTTCCCAAGGTTTTGGGCCATCCTTGACAGTTTTCCCAGGGCACAAGCAGAGAGCTGGATGGGAAGTGGAGCAGCCAGGACACGAACCGGCACCCATATGGGATCCTGGTGCGTTCAAGGCGAGAACTTTGGTCACTAGGATACTACACCTGGCCCCAAAATATTTATTTTAAAAGAAAGGTTTACAAGGAGAAAAGGAGAGACAAAAAGAGCTCTTCCATCTGCTGGTTCACTCCACAAAAGGCCACAGTGGCCAGAGCTGATCTGATCTGAAGTTGGAAGCCCAGAGGCCCTTCTTTCATGTGGGTGCAGGGGCCCAAGCACTTGGGCCAGCCTCTGCTGCCTTCCCAGGCCATTAGCAGAGAGGTGTGTCAGAAGTAGAGCAGCCAGGACTTGAACTGGCACCATGTGGGATGCTGACACCGCAGATGCAGACTTAAACTACTGCACCACATTGCCAGCCCCACTTCTTTTATGTGAACTCATGGCTTGCTTAAAGGTGTTTGGAAACAAGCTGTAGAAAATATAGCTTCCATTGGAAAGATGTAAGAAACAGACTATTCTCCTTGGCTCTTCATTACTTTACAAATATTTTTGTTCATCTTTTTTTTTTGAAAGATTCATTTATTTTTATTGGAAAGTCAGATATACAGAGAGAAATAGAGACAGAAAGATCTTCTGTCCATTTACTCACTTCCCAAGTGGCCGCAACAGCCGGAGCTAAGCTGATTCAAAGCCAGGAGCTTCTTCTGAGTCTCCCATGCAGGTACAGGGTTCCAAAACCTTGGTTTGTCCTCTACTGCTTTTCCCAGGCCACAATCAGGGGGCTAAATGGGAAACGGGGCCACCAGGACACAAACCAGCATCCATATGGAATCTAGGTATGTGCAAGGCAAGGTCTTTAGCTGCTAGGCTACCACTCCAGACTCTTATCTTACTTGAAAGGCACAGTGACAGAGAGGGGTAGAGATGTCTTCCCTCCATGAGTTCGCCCCCTAAATGCCCATAATCACTGGGGCTGGGTCAGGCTCAAGCCAGGAGCCACAAACTCTGTGTGGGTCTTCTACTGGGGTGGCCCAAGTAGCCCCATTGGGCCACACATCTGCCTCCCAGACACATGAACAGAAAGCTGGATTCAAAGCAGAGGTAGGACTTGATCCAAGGCGTTCTGACATGGGATGTAGACATCACAGCTGGCAACTTCACCTGAGCTGCTGTGCCATAATGCTGCCCTGTCCTCGGGCCTTGGAGAGTAGTTGGGCCAGATATTGGCCTATAACTACTTCACAAAGGATGGGACTTGGAATCCAGGCCTCAGGGAAGCCAATTTCCCAACCAGTTATGTGACCTGACATTCAGTAATCTTCTGTGACATTTATAATCTTTCTCTGTGTGACGTGTGGTGTGGCGTCTCTGTTCTCCTCTGCCTTGTTGTTCTCTGTCTTTTATAGATTGGAGCCAAACATGGTGTTATCTACCTGATTACAAAGTCTGGTTATCTTCACATGTATGACTTGGAGTCTGGCGCGTGCATCTACATGAACCGCATCAGTGCCGACACCATCTTTGTCACTGCTCCTCATGAGCCGACCTCTGGAATCATCGGTGTCAATAAAAAGGGACAGGTGTGTAACTCTGGGACTGGAGCCTGAACTCCTTCCTTCATGAGGAAGGAGGCCAGGTATGGTTGGCCCCTGCTGTTACACTTCCTTCCCCTTCATGTCATCACCTGTCCTTGGCAGTAAGGACCGGTCATAACCCAGGGTCACTTCTGGGAGGGAAGCTGCTCCCTGCTGCAGCCGTTCCAGCCGACACCACGAACACGCTCATGTGATGCATGCATTGACCGGGGAGTGGGTGTCGGGGCACCCCTCCTGTCTAACCCCTCTCACCTGAGGGTCTTTACAGGTGCTGTCAGTATGTGTGGAGGAAGAGAACATCGTGAATTATGCCACCAGTGTGCTACAGAATCCAGACCTGGGTCTGCGTCTGGCAGTCCGCAATAACCTGGCGGGGGCAGAGGACCTGTTTATGAGAAAGTTCAGCGCCCTCTTTGCTCAGGGAAACTATACCGAAGCCGCCCGAGTTGCAGCGACTGCACCAAAGGTGACGGGACTGGAACACTGGTGGGCCATTGCCAAGTTCTAAGGAGCCACTTTGCGAATGAAGGAAACCCCAGAGCATCTCTCTGTTAACCCTGGAGCCATTCTGTCGGTGCTTCTGGTTGTTGGGTTTTACCAATGACATGCTGACCTCAGACACGCTTTCTGTGCTGGCGTAGTTTTCCTCATCGTCCTCCGGGGCCTGTCTGTGTGGATGTGTCTCCGACCCGCAGCCTCACTCACCTGTGGTTGTGCATCTTGGTCACTGGGGCTGCCTTGTTGTCAGACACATGATTCTATGACGCCCCAAGTCCTTACACCCACCCTGTTTTGCCATGGTCCCACTGTGGACTGCCTGCTCTTCGATAGAGTCTTAAGTGTGCTGTTACTGCCTTTGTCTCAGCTTGTGTCCTTCAGAGAAATGGTCCTGAGCAGATAAGGGCTTTCTCGTTGCTTTTCCTTCTAAGTTTTCTCTTTTTTCCCTGTCTATCAAACAATGGTTATGAACAAAGCATTTTTAAACATTTTACTGATTTTTTTTTTAATTTGAAAGGCAGAATTAAAGAGATCGAAAGACAGAAAGAGGTTTTTCCATGTACCAATTCATTCTCCAAATGCTCCAGATTCTCCAGATGGAGCCTGGAGCCCCATCTGGGTCTCCAGTGTGTGCAGCAGGGCCATCATCTCTTGCTTTGCCAGGTGCATTCGGAGGGGGCTGGATGAGACATGGAACAGCAGGGACTCAAACCAGTGTTCCAAAATAGGATGCTTGTACCATGCACCATGGTGCTGGCCCCTGAACAAGCCATTTCTTTTTAGTTTCTTGGCTTTTTTTTTTTTTTAATTGGAAAGGTGGATATACAGAGAGGAGGAGAAGCAGAGAAAGATCTTCCTTCTGATGGTTCACTCCCCAAGTGACTGCAACAGTCAAAGTTGAGCCAATCCGAAGCCAGGAGCCAGAAACTTCCGGGTCTCCCACACGGGTGCAGGGTCCCAAAGCTTTGGGCCGTCCTCCACTGTTGTCCCAGGCCAGGCAGGAAGCTGGATGAGAAGCAGGGCTGCTGGGATTAGAACCGGCAACCATATGGGATCCCGGGGTGTGCAAGGGGAGGACCTTAACCACTGCACCACCGTGCTGGGCCCGTTGTTTTGGCTTTTTAAGACTTACTTATTTTCATTTGAAAGGCAGATTTACAATGAGAGGACAGACAGATATTTAGTGTTGGTTTATTTACTTCCCAAATGGCCCAAATGTCTGGGGCTGGGCTGGTCAGGAGCCAGGATCTTCTTTCAAGTCTCCCATGTGGGTGCAGGGTTCTACAGACTTGGGCGATCCTGCTGCTTTTCCAAACCAGCAGTAGGGAGCTAGATATGGAAGTGGAGCAGCTGGAACTCCACGGTGACCATGTGGGATTCCAGCGTCACAGGCGGAGGCTTATTGGACAAGCCGTTTTTAAAATTCATCTGGGACTCTGTGTGCTTTGAATTAGAATATAATGAGGGCATCGCATTGCTATAACAGTACTGATTACAAGATTTACTCTTGGCTAGCACGTACTAGGGCGGGAGGAGCGTAACTCAGGCCGCTGTATGCCCTGACCCCTGTGCTCCAGATTCTTGCCCTAGCAGGAGGCTTTTGTGGCTATCTTGTCGGTGTGGAATCTCACCACCAGGTGGCTTTTTGTGTGTGTGAGTGGGGAAGGGCATGTCCTGCAGTTGTAGCGCAGTGACAAGTGTTCCATTTGTTCTCAGGGAATTCTGCGGACCAATGACACGATCAGCAAGTTCCGGAGTATTCCCACCCAACCTGGGCAGCCCTCTCCTCTGTTCCAGTATTTTGGCGTCCTACTTGACCATGGTCAGCTCAACAAGCTGGAATCCTTAGAAATCTGCCATCCAGTTCTTCAGCAAGGACGCAAGCATCTCTTGGAGAAGTGGCTGAAAGAAGATAAGGTAGAAACACGGGGGAGAGCACAGCCCCCAGCCCAGCTGGCAGTCGGCCCCGGCCCCGGCTCCTCTGACCCTGACCTTGCCTTCTGTTTTGGTCGCCACAGTTGGAGTGTTCAGAAGAGCTTGGGGATTTGGTCAAAACCACTGATGCCACACTTGCTCTAAGTGTGTACCTTCGGGCCAGCGTGCCAAGCAAAGTTGTCCAGTGCTTTGCAGAAACAGGCCAGTTCCAGAAAATTGTACTCTATGCCAAAAAGGTAACACATGGCCCTCTGCGTCTGCTGTTCAGTGTGGGAGGGTTTTCAGCATTGCTGTTGGCAGCTGCCATTCATTGGTGGTAACTGGGTTGTATTCTCTTCACTGCATTATTCTCTTTGTTTTTACAGTCCTTCTCCCGTCCAGTTGGGAGCTTTCCTGCACTTGTGTCTTAGTCTTTCTTCCTCCCCGCCTTGCCAAGCTGCTGCATGTTGCCCGTGTGTTTGTACCGGCTCTCGCCTGTGCTTGTGCCATCGGGGCAGCTTGGTCACACTGCAGACTGTTGTGTACTTTGTTGCACTTTTGTGTGCAGGGCTCCATTCATTTTATTAGATACTGTGCCCGGTGGAGGGTGTCCACACCCAGGCTAATGTTGTTGCTCATTTCTTTGAAAGCTCAAGTTCAAAACAAAGCATGGGGAACCTTGTTTTTCATGTCTAAAGTGTTGTTTGCAGGTCGGATACAGCCCAGACTGGGTATTTTTGCTGAGGAGTGTGATGAGGGTCAGCCCAGAGCAGGGGCAACAGTTTTCCCATATGCTTGTACAGGACATGGAGCCATTGGTCAACGTGAACCAGGTAAGCTCAGAATGTGGCTTTGTGGCCGTCTAGAAGATTCTCCATCACTTAAGTTTCTGTTAATGGGCTTCTTTTTACTACTCACTTTCCACTTTAAAAACCCAGCATAGTGGGGCAGGTTGTCATCTGGTTTTTATTGTTTGAACACTTGTTTTAACTTTGTTTTGAAGTGGTTTAGGAGATTTATGTCAGGCTTTTAGATTTTGGTTGCCTTGTGTGGTGACTGGTAGCAGGGTGTGAGGATGTCATGGAGGCCCTGCACCTTGCCGTGTGCCACGGTAAGTGTCCCCCCAATTACCAAGACGGCTCTGTTTCTGGGGGTACCTCCCTGGCTGGCCTACATGAGAGCAGTAGTCTGAATTTTTTAAAATTTTTTCATTAAATTATTTTTTTTCTTTAGTGTTAGCTGCTTAGTATATCACAGAACAAGACTAGCAGCCTGTGTGGAAGTAGTAAATGTGTCTCTGTTAGGTTTCTGAATCAGGGAATTCACAGCTGTTTTGGAGATCTTCAGTAAAGGGATGTGAGCCTCACTTACTTAGCTTTCAACAAGAAAGGAATCTCCAGCTCAACTCTTTATTTGAAAGACAAAACGATAGAGACAAAGAGATCTTCCATCCCGCTAGTCCACTCCCCAAATGGTCAGGCCAAATCAGGAGCCTGGCACTTTATCTAGATCTCCCACTCGAGCGACAGGGACAGAAGCAGAAGCACTTGGGCCACCTTCCACTGCTTTTCCAGGTGCATCAGCAGGGCGCTGGACTGAAAGCGGAGCAGCCAGGACCTAAATCCATGCTCCAGGATGCTCATGTCACGGATGGTAGTTTAACCCATTGCTCCACAACACCTACCCCATCTAGCTTAACTCTTGATGAGATTTTATATTTTAGCTTTTCAAAACTACTACAGTTACTGTTCTCATTAACGTCCATGAATTATGTGGATTTTGATGATGTGGGACAATGTAAAGGAAGAACAGGGCTACTGCATTTCTCAGCAAGGTTGTATTTCAGAACTTGTCTCAATAGAAGAGCCCTAGGCTGTGTCCTCTGAGGGAAACGTGCCTTGGTTCTGTTTCAGATTGTGGACATTTTCATGGAGAACAGTTTAATTCAGCAGTGTACTTCCTTCTTGTTGGATGTCTTGAAGAACAATCACCCGGCCGAGGGGCATCTGCAGACTCGGCTGTTGGAGATGAACCTGGTTCATGCACCCCAGGCAAGTGAAGCTCCTGGGCTCGTTCTGAGGGGTAGGGCGCCTGTACCCCTGAACAGTAGACCTGAGTGCACGTGGATTTTCCGGGGTGCACTCCTGCCAGAGGTTTAACTTTGTCCTTGTCAGTGGGTGCTCTCCATATGGCTTCTCCAGAAGTGAGGTGCACGGAAGTCTTAACTCAGCATTGATTAACTCTTAGCTTCAGCCAGGATCCGTCCGTCCATCCATCCATGCATCCATCTGTCCATCCATCTTTCCTTCCTGCTTCTCTCCCTTCTTTCCTCTCTCCCTCTCTTCCCTCTCTCCCTCCACTGTAGTAAAATAGACGACAGTTTACCATGCTAGCCGTTTTCAGTGTACCATTCAGTGCTATTGGAACATTTCCACAACTATACAACCATTGACACTAGACAGTCCCCAGACAAGAACTGTAACCAGTGAATGGGGTCTCACTGTGCCATCCTGTCCCAGCCTCTGGCAGCCCCTGTTCTGCTTCCCTTGGTCTCTGAGAATTTGCCTGTCTTGGGTAATTCCCATAAAAGAAATCGTAAAATGTTTGCCCTCGTGTCTGGTTCTTCACTTAGCATGTTGTTTCCAAGGTTATTAATGCTCCTACTGCAGCATGCGTTAAAATTGACTTCATTTTTAAAGTTTTATTCCATTGTGGGTACTTGCATTTTGTTTCTCTTTTTACCTGTCGATTGTTTATACCTTCTCGCTGTTGTGACTAATGCTGCTGTGAACAGGACACCCAGGGCTGTTGAGACATTGCTTTCATTTCTTTCAGTTGTGTATCTGAAAGTGGAATTGATAGATTGTAATTCTGTATTTAGCCCTTTTTACTAATCTGTTTATTTTCATGTTACTTGAAAGGCAGAGACAGAAACAGACACAGAGAGGAGCTACCATCTGCTGATGCACCCCCAGCTGCTTGTAATAGCAATGCTGGCCCATGCCAAAGCCAGGAGTCTGGAAGTCCATTTGGGTCTCCCACTTGGGCTGTCATTTGCTGCCTGTCAGGATGCGTGCTAGCAGGAAGCTGGGTCAGAAACAGAACAGCCAAAAACTTGAAGCAGGCAGTCCTGTGGGATACAGGTGTCCAAGTAACAAGTTAAGCCTCTGTGCCAACACCTGTCTCACCAGACTATACTCCAAGAATCTGCACCAGCAGCACCCAAGGGTTCCAATTTCCCTGTATCTTCACTATGTTTATTTTCCCTTAAAAAAATATATATGTAGGCATCTTAAAGTGTTTATTTATCTGAGAATCAGTGTGACAGAGAGCTTTAATCTGCTGGTTTGTTTTCCAAATGCCAGGCTGAGGCAGTCTGAAGCTGGTTACCTGGAATTCCACCTAGGTCTCCCACTTGGTGGCAGGGGTTCAAGTACTTGAGCCATCTCTGCTTCCTCCCAGGTGCACTAGCAGGACACTGCATCAAAAGTAGAGTATCTGGGATGTACGGGAGGTGGGCATCCTAAGTAGCAGTTTCACCCAGTGCCCTAAAGCACCTGCTCTACGATGTCCATCTCCATGGTGTGGGCTGTCTCCTCTCATCTGGCATTGCCTCTCAGCCTGAAGGGTGGTGGAGGTCTTTACACTTCTCTGCTTTTTGATTTTCTTTCTTTTCTTTCTTTTTTTTTAAGATTTATTTATTTTTATTGGAAAGGCAGGTTTACAGAGAGAGACAGAAAGATCTTCTGTCCACTGGTTCATTCCTTGTGTAGCTGCAGCGGCTGGAACTGAGCCGATTCAAAGCCAGGAGCCAGGTGCTTCTTCCAGTTTCCTACATGGGTGCAGGGTCTCAAGACCTTGGGCCATCCTATATACTGCTCTGCAAGGCCATGAGCAGGGAGCTAGATGGGAAGTGTGGCAGCCGGGACACGAACTGATGCTCATATGTGTTTCTAGCACATGCAAGGCAAGGATTTTAGCCACTTACCCATTTTGCCAGACCCAAGAGTACTGGTTAAAAACAATGATAGCCTCTTCTAAATTCTTTCCAGGTATATTTTTTGTTTATTTAAAAATCATTGTTATTAGTGGTCAGATAAATGGCAGGCATAGCTTTTATCCACTGGTTCCCTCTCACAAATGACTGCCAATGACCAGGGCTGGACTGGGCAGAAGCCAGGAACTGGGAACTCAGTCCAGGTGTTCCACGTGGATGACAAAGACCTAAGAACCTAAGCTGTCGCCTGCTATCCCCCAGAGCTGGATTGGCAGGAAACTGGAACCAGGAATCTCGTGTGGGATTGTAGGCATCATGAGCACTGGGCCAAACGCCTGTCCTAGTGTTGTTCATATTATTATTTAAAGATATATTTTAGTGTTATTTGAAAGGCAGATTTACAGAGAAAAGGAATGACTGAGAAATATCTTCAATCTGCTGTTCCACTCCCCAGATGGCCACAAATTAGCTGAGCCAATTCGAAGCCAGGGGTCAGGAGCTTATTCTAGATCTCCCACGCTAGTGCAGGGTCCTAAGGATTTAGGGTCCTATTCTCCACTGCTCTCCAAGGCCACAAACAGGGTGCTGGATCAGAAGTGAAGCAACTGGGACATGAAGCAGTACCCATGTAGGATGCCAGTGCTTGAGAATGGAGGATTAGCCTATTGAGCCACAGTGCCAGCCCCAGTGTTTGTTTTGTAAGTGTACCCAAAACTCTCAATGCCTTAGGGAGATTTCCTAAACACAAGTAAGATTTGTAACTCAATACTTCTCTGAGTTCCACATGAATCTTGATGAGAACCATGTCAGAAAGTGACTGATCTGGATTCATCCCAGTCCTGGCATTTGATTGGGGCATCAGCTTACCTCACACACACTGCCCCCTGGCTACTAAAAAAGGGCCTCAGGTGCCTGGAAGGGAGCCAGGGCTCTGCTTGGCATCAGTCAGTGCTGCTGCTACTGCTGCCCCTGTGGACATGCTGGGGTGGGCAGCAGCCTGAGAACCCTGGTCCCGAGCTATAACCCCTCATCCTGGGGACGTGGCTGCACAGTTGCTCCCTGGAAGTGCTGTCCACCCACCAGCCTTTCTTACTGACTGTCTTGTAGGTTGCAGATGCCATCCTTGGAAATCAGATGTTTTCACATTACGATCGGGCCCACATCGGCCAGCTCTGTGAGAAGGCGGGCCTCCTGCAGCGGGCGCTGGAGCACTACACCGACCTCTATGACATCAAGAGGGCTGTGGTCCACACTCACCTCCTCAATCCTGAGGTACTCCCCTGTAACTGGGGTGCGTCCAGTCATTTACCTCATAGGCTCCCTGAGGTTCATCTGTCTGGATTGTGGGATCGGGCCTGAGCCTGGCCACAGTGTGCCATCGCAATAATGTGCAAACACCACCTGCCCAGAAACAAGTCAGGGCTCCATGTCCCCTGTCTTTTCAGTGTCCACCTGTGACAGTCTGGTGGCTGGAATGGGGGTGACTTGATAATGGGGACACTGGCAGAGCAGCTGTCATATCCTGAGTCATGCACCAGGTTATAGTGTCAGCTGTTGGACATCGCAAAAATGACAGCTCAGGCCGCTGTCTTGCATTTACTCCTTGCTCCTGCTTTTCAAACTGTGATGTGTAGTCTTTTCTTCAGTCCTTCTGACCAGAAATTCTCGTAGCCTTCCAGACATGCAGGACTGGGTTGGGGATGCCCCACTGCTTTCCCCTGTGCCAGCAGCCTCTCAGCTGGTGTGCGAATGATGTGGACTGGTCCTTCTTCGTTCCAGTGGCTTATCAACTTCTTCGGCTCCTTGTCTGTGGAGGATTCCTTGGAGTGTCTGCGGACTATGCTGTCTGCAAACATCAGGCAGAACCTGCAGCTGTGCGTGCAGGTGGCCTCCAAGTACCACGAGCAGCTGGGCGCGCAGGCCCTAGTGGAACTTTTTGAATCCTTCAAGAGCTATGAAGGTAAGCGTGCCATTGGCCCTCTAGCCACAGGACTATGCCTGTTACCACAGGGGTTGTTGTCCATGTGTCCCACCCAAAACCATCTTCCTTAGCCCTGGGCAAGCTGCTGTAGCACTTGATGCTCAGTCAGGGCCAGAATCGCCTCCGCTGTGTGCTTCACTCTGTGCTGCCTCCAGAGAAAGAAGCCAGAGTCCTGCATCTGTGCACGGGACAGACCAGTGCAGAATTCACCTGAAATGCTGCATGGACGATCCCGGGTGCCACTCCTGTGGGAGCGGCTCCCTCACCCTCTCCCAGCTGTGAGCCCAGGGTGGATGGTGTGTCTCATGTTGTTGGCCACTAGGCTTTTGAGAACACTGAGGTCATCCTTTGTCCTTCTATAGGGGTCACACCAAAAAAGTGTGCCACGTGGAAGGAAGGATGGGAGTGGCTTTGCTGGGGACAAGCTGGGAGCATTCTGTTCTGCCCAGGATGGAGCAGAGCAGTCATCCACTGGGGGCATCGATGCTGCCGTGTGCCCGATGAAGGCAGGATGTGGAGGAGGCAACACTGCCCTCTGGGAGCCAAGCTTCGTCCTGGAGGACAGGGGCAGAAACCTAGGTGGGACTGAGGGGAGGGAGTCCCAGGGTAGGCATGTGGGTTCTGTTGGCCTTGAGACTGGCTATTTAGCCCATTGTCCATATCATGGTTACAGCTGGCAGCCACCAGTGAAAGTGGTCTTCCCTGATGGCCTGGCCTGGTCAGCCGGCTGGGCGCTGTCATTAGCCTCTTGAAATGATAGCCTCTGTGACTCCTCTGTGCCTTCAGCTCCATGTGGGCTGGGAGGCTCCTGTGGGGCTGTTGCTTGCATATTCTGTTCTGGGTATGTCATTTTGTTTATTATTTAATTAGTTTTATAAGATTGATTTATTTGAAAGGCAGGATGACTGACAGGGTAAGCAAGAGGGTGAGTGAGAAAGAGAGCTCCTCCATCTGCTAGTTCACTGTCTGAATGGCCACAGTGTTTAGGGTTGGCTCAAGCTAAAACCAGGAACCCAGAGTTCCATCCAGGTCTGCCGTGTGGGTGCAGGGACCCAAGTACTTGGGCTATTTTCTGTTACTGTTCCAGGTTGATTAGCAGGGAGCTGGATCAGAGTGGAGTAACCAGGACTAGAATCAGCATTGTACTGAGGGACGCCAGCATCACAGGTGGCAGCGTAACTTGCTGTGTCACAACATCAGCCCTTAGGCATGTCTCTTCAGAGCAGCCATCCTAGTCCTCTGAAGTTATCTCATTGTCAGTGCTGCCCCCCCCCCCCGGGAGAAATGTGTACAAACCAGATAGCCAGTATTTCTTTTAAAAATGTATTTTTGGGCCCGGTGCAATAGCCTAGTGGCTGAAGTCCTCACTTTGCACAGGCCAGGATCCCTTATAGGAACCGGTTCTAATCCTGGCAGCCCCACTTCCCATCCAGCTCCCTGCTTGTGGCCTGGGAAAGCAGTTGAGGACGGCCCAAAGCCTTGGGACCCTGCACCCGTGTGGGAGACCTGGAGGAAGAGGCTCCTGGCTTCAGATTGGCTCAGCTCCAGCCATTGTGGTCACTTGGGGAGTGAATCATTGGATGGAATATCTTCCTCTCTGTCTCTCCTCCCGTCTATCTGCCTTTATAATAAAGATGAATAAATCTTAAGATGTATTATTTATTTTACTTGAAAGAATTACAGAGAAGGAGAGGCAGAGAGGTATCTTGCATCCACTGGTTCACTCCCTAAATGGCCGCAGTAGCCAGAGCTTGGCTGGCCAGAAGCTTAAAGCCAGGAGCCTTCTGGGTCTTCCAAGTGGGCTTGTATGCCATCCTCAACTGTTTTTCTAGGCCACAGATAAGGAGCTGAATCAGCCAAGGCATGAACTGGTGCCCATATGGAATGCTGGCACTATAGGAGAATTAGTCTGCTGTACCATTGTGCTGGTTCTATGATAGCCAATATATTTTTTAAAATTTGTTTATTTTTTTATTGGAAAAGACAGATTTACAGAGAGAAAGAGAGACATCAAGAAAGATCTTATATCCACTGGTTTACTCTCCAAGTGGCACTCATATGGGATCCTGGCAGTTGCAAGGGAAGGATTTAGCTATTAGGCCACCCCACTGGACCTGATAATATTTTACATCAGAACATCCAGGTCGGGCCCAGCGCCGTGGCCTAGCAGCTAAAGTCCTCGCCTTGCACGCCCGGGATCCTATATGGGCACCGGTTCTAATCCTGGCAGCTCTACTTCCCATCCAGCTCCCTGCCTGTGGCCTGGAAAAGCAGTGGAGGATGGCCCAGTGCTTTGGGATCCTGCACCCATGTGGGAGACCTGGAGGAGGCTCTGGGCTCCTGGCTCCAGATTAGCACAGCACCAGCTGTTGTGGTCACTTGGGAAGTGAATCATCAGAAGGAAGATCTTCCTCTTTGTTTCTCCTCCTCTCTGTATATCTGACTTTCCAATAAAAATAAATCTTGAAAGAAAAAAAGAAAAGAACATCCAGGTCTCCTCCAGCTTTGGTGAAAGTGTGATTGAGTAGCCATTTGTTTGTAGATCTCAGAGAAGCTAGACTTTATACAGGTGATGAATTCTGAGCAGGCTGTGTGTACCTGGAGGATGGATTAGGGCCATTGCAGGCTGCCTGTCAAGGTCAGGACCCAGTGACGTCGGAGAAGCAGGTGCGTGTTAGGAGGACAACTGAAACTGTCTGTCTGCATAGGCCTCTTCTACTTCCTGGGCTCCATCGTGAACTTCAGCCAAGACCCAGACGTGCACCTCAAGTACATCCAGGCCGCCTGTAAGACAGGGCAGATCAAGGAGGTGGAGAGGATCTGCCGAGAGAGCAGCTGCTACAACCCGGAGCGGGTGAAGAACTTCCTGAAGGTATGTGCAGGTATCTCTGAGGTTTGGCCAAACTTCCTGAGAGCTGCTCCTTCCTCCCCAGTGGCAGACCCCGCATTTTGGCCCAGGATTCTGGACAGAACCCACCCAATACGTGTCTTTGTGGCAAGACGCTTGGGGCTGACAGATGAGTGGAGGAGTGAGTTTATCGCTGTGTTGTAGCTCATCAGCTCCAGCCATGCCTCTGAGGAAGGTGTGACTGATACCAAGGTGCCCACTCAGGGGCAGGGCACCAAGAGCAAGAAGCCTGCTTGGGTTAGCACACTGCTGGGAGGCCAGCATCCCGCGGTCAGAGTGCTGGGTGTGAGACCTGGCTCCACGTCCTGTCCCAGCTAATTGACGTTCTGGGAGGCGGCAGGTCATGGAGCCAGTAGTTGAGTCCCTTTCACTCACAGAGACCTGGATTGAGTTTCTGGCTCCCAGCTTTCTCTGGGCCCAGCTCTGGCTTTTGTGGGCTTTTGGGCTGTGGGGTCAGCAGACAGGACATCTCTTCACCGTCTTTCTCTGCCTTTCAAGTAATCAGTAAGTACTATTCTAGAAGTCTGCTCCTTTCTTACGGGAGAGCCTGGGTGACCATGGAGCTAAGTGTGCTGGCGTCCCTTCCCACCATCTGTCACAGAATTGCGTGGCCTGGATGCTGATGGCCCAGCCACATGGAGGAAGAGGAGGGCACAGAGGAGCCTTGTGGGTTGCTGTGACTGGCACCAACAAGTGGCGGGTGACACTGGGACTCATGTTCCCTTGAAGGACATGAGATCACGTGAACACACAACCTTCAGAGAACCTGGAAAATGCAGTATGGGTTTGGTCCCAACAAGAAGAGGTGGTTGTGGTGACCTGCAGGCTGTCCTGCCTGTTTCTGTCTGCGAGCAGCCCTGCAGCCAAAGGCCCAGGTTGTAGGGTCAGGCTGCTTGTCCTTCCCCCAGCCTGCTGCTTTGCCCTGGCTTCTTTTTATTTATTTTATTTTATTTTATTTTATTTGAAAGGTAAAGTTAGAGAGAAGCAGAGACAGAAAAGAGAGTAATCTTCCATCTGCTATTTCACTCCCAATGGCAGCAGTGGCCAGAGCTGGACCTGTTCGAAGCTGGGAGTCAAGAGTTTCTTCCAGATCTCCCATGCAGGTGCATGGACCCAAACAGTTGAGCTGTCCTTTGTTGCCTCTCCAGGCCCTTAGCAGAGAGTTAGGATTGGAACTGGAGTAGCCAGGACCCAAAGCAGAGCCCGTATGGGATACTGGCACTGAAGGCAGTCTTATCTTACTACATCACAGTACCAGGCCCTCTGTCGGCTTAAGCAACCTGTGTAAAAGGTGTTGGATTTGGTGCAACATAAGAACATAACTGACAAAGTTAGCAGGTTTTTTTTAAACCAAATGTTATTATTCCTAGCCCCCTATTTCCCAAGCCAAATGCTGCACCCCCACACACATACACATCTCCAAGTAAATACTTGAAATGCCATAGCATCTGGCACGGCAAGTGAGATCCCAGGGCAGTGCTGTCCCTGCCTGTTACCATCCCCAGGCTCTGGCCCTGGGCCCTGTCTGACTGTCCTGTGCTTCCCACCCCTCAGGAGGCCAAGCTGGCAGACCAGCTTCCCCTCATCATCGTGTGTGATCGCTTTGACTTTGTCCATGACCTGGTCCTCTACTTGTACCGCAACAACCTGCAGAAGTACATAGAGATCTACGTTCAGAAGGTACTGCTGCGGGGGAGGGACCCTGCTGGCTTGCCAGGGTGGCACCGGCTGCCTTTGGATCACTTGGAGGGCTGGCTGCCTCTGACCCTGACAGTGTCAGGCTGCTGGTCTGAAGGGCAGAGCATCAGGCTGCTCAGGCTGCCAGGTCACAGTGTCACAAACCAGGCAGCTTAAATACCAGAACTGAACTTGTCACACTTGTGGAAGCCCAAAGCCCATGGTCAGCGTGCCAGACAGGTCAGTTTCCAGTGAGGAAGCTCTTCAGGCTTTCAGATGGCCACCTCTTCACTGTGGCTTCACATGGCGTGACCTTTTCCCTCTCTCTGTGCACTCTTGATACCTGTACCCCTCTTAGAAGGACTCCAGTCCTGTCAGTCAGGCCCTTGCTCTCCACATTACGGAGCTCCTTCAAGGTCCATTTCCAATGATAGTCCCACGATGAGCTAGGCCTCTGTTGGAATGAGGTTCTGTCCTGCATAGCAGACCTCTCGTTTTTGCTCACACTCTCTGCATCTCAAGGGGGCTTCTGGCAAGGACCTGTGTCCACAGCCCCGTAGTCACCACCTCGACTGTTCTAGGTCAATCCTAGCCGGATCCCAGCTGTGGTTGGAGGGCTGCTTGATGTGGACTGTTCTGAGGACGTAATTAAGAACTTAATCATGGTAGTGAGAGGACAGTTCTCTACTGATGAGCTGGTGGCTGAAGTAGAAAAGAGAAACAGGTACAGTACCTCACTCGGTGTTGTCTTTTGCCCCCAGATCTGAGGGTTTCTTCTTCGTTCTTTGCTTACTTCTCCAAGATGCCTTCATGGTCAGGCTCCCAGCCCCTGGACAATCTCAGAATGGGTTATTTACAATCGGTACTGAAGACCTGTTTGGGGACAGTTCACTGAAAAGCAGTCTGGAGACCTGGTCTGCCTGAACCTTGAAGCACCCCTCAAAGTCCCAGGGTGGGCCTGGTTGTTCCCAGGGGTTGTCTGAATCCTTTCACAGAATCTTTTCTTCCAAAGGCTCAAGTTGCTGCTTCCATGGCTGGAGTCTCGGCTCCAGGAGGGATGTGAGGAGCCCGCCACTCACAATGCTCTGGCCAAAATCTACATCGACAGCAACAACAACCCGGAGTGCTTCCTGCGAGAAAATGCCTACTACGACAGCAGTGTGGTGGGCCGCTACTGCGAGAAGCGTGACCCCCACCTGGCCTGCGTGGCTTACGAACGCGGGCAGTGTAGCCTTGAATTCATCAAGGTGGGTGTGCCCAGCTCCTGTGGGGCTCTGGCCCGAGGGGACAGGGCTTCAGCTGTGTGCCTGTGGAGGCTGCAGAGGGTAGGAAAGGTGGTGCTTTGCCAGTCTGCATTGGTCGTGGTTCTGGCACCTGTTGCATCCTGCTCCTGCCAGAAGTGGATGTGCTGTACCTGTGGGCCTAAATGACCCTGCAGCCATCCCATCAGCCTGCAGGGTCACCTCATTGACCCTTTGGTCAGCCACCCGAACTGGCCTGTAGTTCCCAGTGGTTCCCGTCCCACTTCTTAGAGTAACCCGCTACCTCTGCCTCGTCCATCCCCTTCGAGCACACTTGGCTCTTGCTCCTGGAGGCGTCTTCCCAGGTCTCCTGCATATTTTTGCCCAGGCTTGGATCTGCCTGTGTGTAATGGCATTTTTTTAAGTTGCACTGTGTGAACTGCTGGTGTGAAATCATTTGACTCCAAACTCTAGCAGTGTCATATGGATGAGCTCTGTGTGGGCTCTGTCCCCACACCCCAGTGTATCTGACCACCTAGTGTTCTGGCAGCAGCTGGAGAAGGTGCACTGTAGGGCAAGCGTATGCAGACTTGAGTGTGGGGAGCAAGTCACTGGCTTCTCACTTCACCTTCAGTTTGGCCACTGACTGCAGAAGTGACAGGACAGGGTGGACATAGCCTTTCACCCGGCAATCTGGGAACTGTGACGTGAGTTGGATACTAGCCAGCCACTTATTGGCTTAATTTGTCACCCATATCTGAAAGTCACCCCATTGAGATCCTGACACACCTGAGTCCTCTCAGGCAGTCTGAGTTTAGCTAGGAAAGAGATGGTCAGCAAGGCCTGCTCCGCAGTGTGATTTGTGGAGAGAAGGCCTGTTAGTTGGGGCCTGCGCTGAGCACACATGGACAACCAGCCTGGCATCCGCAGACACACATCTCGGTGGAGTACTTGCCCATCCCATGGACCACCATGGCTGTGATATTCGCCAGTCCTCAGCCAGTGCCTCATGCACTGAAATGGTCAGTGGGCTGTTGATATTTAGCACTCAGAGAAGGGTCTCAAGCTCGGACTGAAAATGCATATTACAAGGATGGGTTGTTCTGTTCAAGGGTACTTCAAAAAATTCCTGGAAAGGAAAAATTTAAAGCTAAGTTTATTGTACAGAAAAGTTTGAATATCGATGCACTGTGTGTGTATGTGTGTGTGTTGATAACACATGTTTTCTTGTGTCTTATGAAGACCCCTTATGCCAGGGTTAGGTTGTTATAGTAATACTTTCAAGATTGTTTAGAACTAGCCATGTGTGATGCTTTCGTGAAATTAAGATTGCAAGTTTAGTTCCTCAGTTGTACATGCCATTATCAAGTGCTCGCTAGCCTCTAGTAGCTGGTGGTGGTCATGTCAGACAGCACAGAATGTTCCACTGGCTGGAGTATGGCGCTTCCCTGTGGCATTTTTGGGGTGCCTTGTCTCCTTGAGGGTGTGGTAGTAACCCTATGGCATGCAGCTTGTCTGTGCTCAAATAGCATCCTGATAGAATGCAGGCTGTGCTGAACAAGAGCTGGAGACTGAGGGAACTAGCTGGGCAGTACCAACCCAGATGGCATCCAACAGTTATATCACACACAGTATACTCTTTCCAGGTTTGCAACGAGAATTCTCTATTCAAAAGCGAGGCTCGCTACCTGGTGCGTAGGAAAGATCCAGAGCTCTGGGGTCATGTTCTGGAAGAGACCAACCCATCCCGGAGACAGCTGATTGACCAGGTGAGGCACAGAACCCTCTGGAACATGCACAGCCTGACTTCTGTTCTCTAGTCCTCCTGGGGTGCCAGCAGCTGCTGTTGCTGTTGCAGCTCACACCTGCAGCTCTTGCAGAAGGGGCTGGCCTGGAAGTGGCTGGCTCACAGGACAAGCTGACTCAGTGGAAGACTGGCCTTTGGGCAGACTTGGCCCTTGCCCCCACAGCAGGACTGTACAGTACCTGGTGGCTGCCCAAATGTGTTTCCTTGGTCCTTCTGCCAGCTCAGTCCCTGGGAATAGAAATGGAGTGACTTCAGGCTGGCTCAGCCAACTTTTCCCTTGTGTTTTATTGAGCACCACCTTGGGGCTGGAACCCAGTGCTGGGGTTGGGGATTGTCAGCAGACATAGGATGGCATGTGGGTTTCCTGCAGCTCTGATAAGAGACCCAGCCCCCATCATAGCCTTGCAAACTTTAACCTTATCCCCTGGGCTGTTGCATGTATGGCTTAGGGATGGGCCAGGACCCTTATGTTAACAAAACCCTGGTCCAGCCCATGAGGCAGGTCCTATACATTCACTTCTACCTCTGTTGAGTCTCGCCCTGTTTTCTGTCTACCACCCCCTCACATCCAGGCCATTAGTTCTTTTAAAGTTGATGTCTCAGTTTTGAACACTTTGAGACTTCTGAGTCAGCTTCAGACTAATCAGTCTTGGTGATTTCACTTCATCCAAGCGTAAAAAACATTGAACAGCAAAATACCAGGAACGGGGCCATCTGAGCTCCACTGGGACTCAGCTGCAGGTCTGCAAATGTCAGCCACCTGATCATTCTGTGGGTGACCTGTTGCTACCCCCCCCCCCGGGAAGGGGAGCTTCCACACTGTGAGGGCTGAAGCCAGTGGGGGCTTGTGGTCTTGCTGCTTTGTGCTGGCCTGGTCCTTGTGACTGCTCTAATGGAATGCTAAGGCCACCTCCTGGTGGGACGCTCTCCTGCAGTGCTCTCTGATTGGGGGCACGTGACAGAGGCAGACTGCTCTTGACGCGTGGTGTAAAATCTTATTATAGAAAGGTTGTTTACAAGGAGCTTTGTCCCAAGGTACCCTAGGCTAGGTATCTTGCGTTGACTCAGATATATATGATAGAAACTTTTTGTTTGTTTTGGTTTTGGTTTTTCTTTTTGGTGGAAACTTTTTTTTTTTGCCCTTAGACAATCTGAGTGTAGTTGTTGTAACTGCTCTAAGGTTTTCAACAATGAGCAATTAGATGCTGCCATTGGCTAGACTAGATGTGTTAGATCCTGGGGACCCCATCCCAGTTTGCTTCCTCAGCTACTGTGATTTCTGCTTTTCTGTAACTCCCATCTATGTCTGCCTGGACTGACTCCTGCAAACCCTACAGTGTTGGAACAACTTCTTCTTTTAAGATCTTTATTTTCTTTTATTGGAAAGACAGACTTACAGAGAGAAGGCGAAATAGGAAGAAAATTTTTCATCTCCTGGTTCACTCCCCTAGTGGCTGCAATGGCTGGAGCCAAGCCGATCCAAAGCCAGGAGCCAAGAACTTCTCCTGGGTCTCCCACGTAGGTGCAGGGTCCCAAGGCTTTGGGCCATCCTCTGTTGCTTTCCCAGACCATAATCAGAGAGCTAGAAGGAAGTGGAGCAGGTGGGACGTGAACCAGCACCCACATGGGATCCTGGTGCATGGAAGGCGAGGATTTAGCCACTGAGCCATCGTGTCAGAACAAAGGTGGAAACTCTGCATCTCAGAGTGGCATTGAGAACGTGAAGATGCCTCCCCGGAGGTAGACGGGACTGATTTTGATTTGGTTCCATTTTGGCCTTCAGAGTGACAAGGTAAAAGTTCATAGCCAGATGAGGATATTCATTTTGTAAGACCTCAGGGCCAGCTGTTCATTCCTGTTAATTTATGACTGATGCCCACTGCTGAAAAATACCAGAACCTTGGCAGCTTTGGTAGAGCCCCCGGGTCACTGAAAACACTGGCTCAGAGGGCAGAGCCTGCGCCCTAACCTGCTGTTGTTGGGACATATGCTCTAATAGAATAGCTTCCACCCAGCACTGAGGTTTAGATGGTGAAGAACCTTTCCTTAAATAAGAGCAGCATGGCCCGACCCTGGGGTCTCTGCTCCAGAGCCTGGCCCTGAGTGGCTTCCTGCACTTCTTGGCTTGCTCCTGGCCACGCACCTGCCAGTGGGTAAGGCCACACTGGCAGTGGTGCTCTACAACCAAGAGGCTGCCCAAGGCCCCTGCTGTGTCTCCATTACACAGACAGTAGCTGTGTTTGCCAGGAATTGTGGCTTCAGAGTCACAGATGAAAGCTCACACACTGCTTTGTGCTCTGTTAACTGGCTTTGGAGTGAGTTTAGATGGAACAGAGGAAGAGCCTGTCCCTGTTTGATGTCAGAATAGAGGTTTCATGAAATGTGCTGTTGAGACGCCCGCCCCTCTCTGACCCTGGGAAGCCTGCCGTTTCCTCTGTCTGCTGCACACCATCATGAAGGAGCCCTCTGCTGTGTTGCACATCAGTGGTGCGGCCTAGAGTTAACTTTGATCAATGTCTTCCAAATGCTCTTGAAAACCAGGTGGTACAAACAGCATTGTCAGACACACAGGATCCCGAAGAGCTGTCAGTCACCGTCAAAGCCTTTATGACAGCTGACCTGCCCCACGAGCTGATTGAGCTGCTGGAGAAGATTGTTCTGGACAACTCCATCTTCAGCGAGCACAGGTGAGGGTGGCTAGGGATGGCCGTGGGCGGTTGTGGACTTGGCCAGTCCAGACGTCCGCTTGGCATTCACAGTTCTGGCGATCGTGTCGGTCTCACCATCCACTGCTGCCCAGACTCACTGCCAGTCTCATGGCTTCCTCCTGTATCTTCCTTCGGTGCAGCCCGTCTCTCCTTTGTTCCAAACCTGGCAGTCTCTTACATCCCAGTCTAAAGATCCCTTTACCCAGACCCTCATTTGCCCTGCTGCTCTGGCCTGCATCGTTGTACTCAGTGGTGCCTAGAGGCAGATGCCAGCATTCCAGGAGGGTCTTGTGTGGCCCCAGTGTGTGTTAAGCTCATACAGTCAGGGTGAGCATGGCTTAGCAAGAAGTGGCAGGAAAACCAGACCTCTACACGTTTAGAACCCATCTCACTGCGAGCCTAGCTGAGCAGGGGCCAGGGCAGAGGATTCTGGGCAGGAGGACGTCGTGCAGGTGCGAGAGCACGCTCATCATGGAGCCACCTGGTGGATTACCGCTTTAAATTCACTAGTAGAGTTGCTGGGCCAGTTTATACTGGATTCCCATCATAAATTCTGCTATTAGGAAGTGATTGCAAGATTTATTTCATAGACCAGGACAGCTTTCTGGGATATTGTAGATATTATAGAGAGACTACTGTTGATTGATTTATTTACTTATTTGAAAGAAATACACAGATAGAGAGAGAGAGGCAAACATCTTCCACCTGCTGATTTACTCCCTAAATAATTGCCATAATGGCTGGATGTGGGCCAGGCCAAGCCAGGAGCTTCTTTTGGGTCTCCCATATGGGTGCAGGAGTTCAAGAACTTGGATCATTCTTCACTGGTTTTTCCAAGCCATTATCAAGGAGCTGGATCAGAAGTGAGAGAGCAGAGACACGAATTGGTGCCTACATGGAGTACTAGTATCAACGGTGGTGGATTAACCCACTGTGCCACAACACTGGTCCTTTTAAATGTGGTTTTTATTTTTTGAGATTTCTCTGTGCTGAATTATGGACTATAAAATTATGTGTTCATACACTCAGTCTCTGATTACAAAATGCCAGTGTTACAGTGTGTGACATGGCTAGTGTGTCCTGCTTTGCTGTCTGAACAGCCTCCACTGCTTGTAAAGGGATTCTCATCTGCTGCCTCTTGAAGGACACAAGGGACTTTCAGCATGGGCCCAGCATGGTAGCCTAGTGGCTAAAGTCCTTGCCTTGCTCGTGTTGGGATTTCATAATGATGCCAGTTCTAATCCCAGCAGCCCTGCTTCCCATCCAGCTCCCTGCTTGTGGCCTGGGAAAGCAATCCAGGACGGCCCAAAGCCTTGGGACACTGCACCCACATGGGAGACCTAGAAGAGGCCTTGGGCTCCTGACTTCAGATCAGTGCAATTCCACCCATTGTGGTTACATGGGAATGAATCAACAGACAGAAGATCTTCCTCTCTGTCTCTCCTCTCTGTATATCTGCCTCTCCAATAAAAATAAATAAATCTAAAAAGATTTTTGTCCTGAAACTGACTAGATACAGTCTTATGTATCAGTGGGAATAATTGGCATGGACTAGACACACAGAACAAGACGAATCTGGGTACTGTGTATGACCTGTCTATTGAAATGAACCAGTGAGCTGGCAGATAAATAAAGGCAGCTGAGATTTAAACATAGTGATAAGGGCTGCTGTTTGGCATGGTGGTTACGATTGCTTCAGACACCCCTAGTCCAGATCACCATGGCTGGCTAGCTTTTGATTCCAGCTGTGGACCCTGCTACCCACGTAAGGGTCTGGGCTCTTGGCTTTGGCTTCATCAGGCCCTGCCATGGCTGTTGTGGGCGTTTGGGAAGAGTGAACAAATGAATGGAAATTTTCTGTCCGCTTTTTAAGTGAAGTGAAAATAATAACTAAATAAAGTAAGTGGGTAGAACGCAGCAAAGAATGCAGTTCAGCTAATCCTGCTCCTGGTGAGCCCAGACTGCAGTCCTCAGGACCCGCAGGACAAGAGGACCAGAGGTGCGATGCGGGGGTCCGTGTGGTGGGTGTGGAAGACAGGAAGGTGTGGTAAAGTATTGTTCCACTGCAGGCAAGGTCGCAAGGAATTTCCTGCTCTATGGCAGGGCCCTGCGGATGTCTCTGCAACCCCCTGAATGCAGCTCCACCTCCCTTTGCATGGACTAGTGGGGGTCCTCCCGCCCCGCAGAAGAAATCACCCGACCCTTGAGAGAGAATCTCCAAGGAGCTTTATTCCGATCTTCCGTTAAAAACCATTATGACCGTTAATTCTGTTATGCTCCAGCCCCCCTCTCACAAAGCCCCCCCCCCCCCGCTTATCTGTCAAACTTGTCCAATCAGCTTAAAGAGAACCAAGGCAGACCAATCAGGGCAAAGGGCCAATCACAGGGCAGGAAATTGTCAGTGGCCCCAACAATGGACACCAGACAATACCACTGAGAATTCTGTAATCTATTTAGGCATTGTCTGCCTCTGCAGAGTTAATGTTTACTACCAATGTGAGCTTCGAAGTTGATGTTGCTGATACCATTTTAGTCAAAGGACATTTTATTATTGCTGCTCCCCAATGACCATATACTAATCAAGGGTGTTCAGTCCCCAGGTATAGTGAGAATCTGTTCTTTCCCTCTTTCTTTGATCTTTAGGTCCTTCCTTCTGTGATGCAATTCCTCCCTTAACTGATTCAAGGTTAAGTTGTAGAATAAGGATTGTAGTAGGAATATGTTACTGATTGATATGCACCATCTACCGAGAACTTTTTTAACCACGGGCGCCGGGATGGATAACATTCTGCTTTAAAGTGGAAAAAAAAAGGCAGAATTATCTTTAGAAACACACACTTGACCATGGCGTAAAAAGTCTGAGTCAGAGTTTGGTCCTTTATAAATGAAGCAGACCGCTTTTGTGCACTGTCCACGATGATCGTGGAATTGTAGTGGTCCATTTCGTTCTTCTTTACGCCTAATCCACGCACCCTTCTTGAGTTCTGAACTCGGCTAGAACTGGACTCCCACAATGCGTGGGCTGCTGCAAGGATCGTCAGCAGTCACTTCGGCCTGTACTTCAGGCCAGCCACAGCAAGCAGGAAGCCTCCATTTTGAACCATAGTGCTAGGTGACAGACAACACAGCTGACCCTGACAAGCTGGTCCTGGGACGGTTTCACACAGGTTCACGTTAACCTGGCTAGTGTTAGAGGAATTTAACTTGATAGGACTGGCCATTGGATAGTTAGATCTTGCCAGAGACAAACATAAATCCTGCTCGGAAAAACCTACTTGGAAGCAGAATTGTGTGAGCAGGTAGGGAACCACTAAGAAGAGCCAGCAGTAGCAACGGAATCAAGTCTGCAGAAGTGTAAACACAGAGAAGAAAATGACATGCAATGGAGGCTGGCATCATGGCACAGCAGGTAAAGCTGCGTCAGCCTATCCCCCAGCCTGGCCATTGTGACCGTCCAAGGAGTGAACTAACAGATGGAAGATGTTTCCCCTTTACCTGTAAGTCAGATTTTCAAATACTAAATCAACTTAAAAGAAGCAATAAAACAGAGAAGCTGGGAGTCAAAACTGGTGCTCCAATATAGGCTGTCAACATTACAATCACCTGTGGTATCTTAACCCTCTGTACCACAGTGCTGGCCCCTGCTATCCACATAGGGGTTTTAAAATGCATGAATAAAGGTTAAGCTGGTATTTTAAAGTAACAAATACATTTTATTCACACACATATTTTGAAATAAACTGAGTTTTAGCAACGTTACAGAATTAGTAAAATTGCAAAACTGTAGCTGAGATTGAGTGAAAAATATGAAAGCGGTTAAGCGGTGTGGGGGCTGATGGGAGATCTGATCAGTGAGAGTGGAGCGTGACAGGGGTGGAGAGGAGGATGGAGACCTTAACAGCTGACAGGTTTCCAGCTTTCAGGAGGCCCGCCAAATCCCAGGGAGGATTAATGTTTTAAATCCACCTTTGCACACATTATGGCCAAACTTCAGAACACTGAACGAGACATTGAAAATACCCAGTAAAGAGAAAGACTTCCTACAAAGGCCTGGGCTGTCAGGATGTTTATCGGTAGCCCCAAGGGAAGTGATAGGAATTCATTGTGCTCATAGCACTAACTGTCAACTTAGAATTGTGTGCTTCTTTGACATTAATCTGAGATAGATATTTTGCACAGATTGTCTGAATAGCAGGACTATAGTAAGCTCCCACCCACTGGTTCACTTCCCCAGATGCCCCCAGCCAACCCTGGCTGGTATAAGCCGGAACCAGGAGCTGGGAATTCCACCTGGGTTTCCTCTGTGGGTGTCAGGAAGCCAACTGAGTCTTCCCTCGTGTCTCTCAGTGTCCCATCAACAGGCAGCTGGCATTGGCAGCAGCGCCAGGACTCCATCCCTGATACCGAATATAGCCTCCCAAATAGAGTCTTCACCACAAAACCGAATGTCCAAATCAAAATCAAAACAATAAAATATTAAAACTAGTCAAGATGCTCCTAAAATGTAGAAAGTAAATTACAAAGCAGTGGGAGGGATGTTAGATCAAAACCACACCAAAACAGTGTGGCTACCGAGACCCACAAAGATGATAAAACCAGGCTTTTATTGGGATCTGCTCCCAAGCAAGAGGGTGAGGTAAAGGTATGTGTTTTCTTCTGATTGGTCAGCTCCATCTCAATGGGAAAGCAGTCTAGGACGGCCCAAAGCCTTGGAACCCTGCACCCATGTGGGAGACCTGGAAGAAGCTCCTGGCTCCTGGCTTCAGTCACAAAGCATAAACCCTTATGAAAAGCCACTAGGCCTGTGATACGCTTAAGAACTTTATCACAAAAATAGAAAAAGGAGAGCTGGCATTGTGGGGCAGTGGGTTAAGACACCATTTTTTATTTTAAGATTTATTTCTTTTTATTTGAAAGGCAGATATATAGAGAAGAGGAAAGACAGAGAGGAAGATCTGTCTGATGATTCACTCCCCAAGCAGCCGCAACGGGTGGAACTGCACCGAATCAAAGCCAGGAGCCCGGAACCCCTTCTGGGTCTCCCACGTAGTGCAAGGTCCCAAGGCTTTGGGCCATCCTCGACTGCTTTCTCAGGCCACAAGCAGGGAGCTGAATGGGAAGCGGGGCTGCCAAGATTAGAACCAACGCCCATATGGAATCTTAGTACGTACAAGGCAAGGACTTTAGTCACTAAGCTACTGTGCCAGGTCCATTAAGACACTACTTTACACACCTGTAGTGGAGTACAGGTTTGAGTCCTGGCTGCTCTACTTTCCAGTCCTGTTTCCTGCCAGTGCGCCTAGGAGAACAGCAAAGGGCCGAAGTGCATGCACTCCTGACTTCATCTGTTCTAGACCACTGGGGAGCAAATCAGCAGATGGACAATCTCTGTATCTCTCCCTCCATCTAAGTGATTCTGCCTTTCAAAGAAATAAATCTGTAGAAATTACATTTGGGGAAAAGGGAGTTGGAAATTAGGAGAAGCCATTTCCAGCAACATAAACGTAAGAGAAGACCAGTATGGAGAAGATGCCATGGAAAAACACAGCAGCCCTATGAACCAGCAAGCAGAGCTCCCTGAGCCAGGCCCTGGGTGAGAGGAGGGCTGCTGGGGAGGAGCAGGGCTGCGGGCACCTCCCTGGCTTCTGGGGAAGGAGCAGGAATCAGGCTCCTTAATCAGTGCTGATGAGGCCTCCTGCAGCCCTTCTGGGGAGCTCATTGCACTGGCACAAGTGCTGCGGGAAGAGGCACGTATCCAACTGTTTTTCCCTTGGTTAGGGGCCCTAAAGGAGCTAGACTCATGTGCGTTAGAAGTCCTGGAAAGAGGCAGTGAGAACCCGAACAATCCAGCCAACTATCCGTCAGCAGGTTGTGGAGCAGCCAAATGGTGTGACACCAGATGGCATCCTAGAAGCTCCGTGAACAGTAACATTGAGCTGCCTGTGCAGTACTGGGGATGGCCCCACACGGAGTGTGTAGTGTGTGTCCACCATGATCCTGAGACAGCAGCCCCAGTGCCTTGTACAATGCCCACCAGCTACCCTGTCTGCTCCACCACCTCCAGCCCCAAGTCCCAGCCCCTGGCACGGGGCTTTTCAGGAATGTCATGTAAATGGAATCACAGTATGTGGTCTTTCACATAGACTTCTACATAATGGTGATTACCAAGTAGCTGACTTCCTGCTTTCCTTCCCTGCATGACTACTCTTTGAGGGATGTTTGTCTACCTCTAAAGGATGTTTAGGTTGTTTTCCATCTGAGGTGATTGTGAACACAGCTGCTGTGAACGTACCCCACAGTCTGAGTCCTGAGCTATGTGTAGGCTGAACTGCCAAACTATTATTTTCTAGAAAGACCGTATCATTTTATATTCCTTCCAGCAATATGTGAGCATTCCAGTCACTCCACATCTACACCAGCAGTTAAAAAAAGATTATTTGTTAATTGGAAGTTTTTTTATGTTAATTGAAAGAGTTACAGAGTGGCAGATAAAGATTTTTCTATTTATTTTTATCGGAAAATCAGATTTACAGAGAGAGGGAAAGAAAGATCTTTGTTCTGCTGGTTCACTCCCCAAGTAACCACAACGGGTGGGAGCTGAGCTAATCCAAAGCCAGGAGCCAGCACCCTCTTCCAGATCCCGCACATGGGTGCAGGGTTCCAAAGCCTTGGGTCATCTTCCACTGCTTTCCCAGGCCACAAACAGGGAGCTTATGGGAAGTGGGGCAGCCAGGAGTCAAGTCAGTGACTGTATGGGATGCTGGCATTGCAGGGTGAAGATTAACTTCCTATATCTCTGAACCAGCCCCACATTTTTTTTATTGACACTTGAAATTGTTTCGGAGTCATTGGGGCAGTTTTGTTGCTTTCAGAGGTGATGTCTCATCCCTTTCTTTGCTTTACCTTGACGGGAACAGCAGGAGTGGGCCTTCTCTCTGGGTTGCCCTAGGCACCAGTGTGCTGCTTCCCACAGCCAGTTGCCCTTGGTTGACATTGGGCCTATGGTCAGATCAAAGAAGCTGAAATTTTGTCAGTTGTTCTTCTTGCCTCCAAGGTATCCTCGCCTCCTTGCACACCCAGGATCCCATATGGGCACCTGTTCTAATTCCTGCAGCCCAGCTTCCCATCCAGCTCCCTGCTTGTGGCCTGGGAAAGCAGTTGAGGATGGCCCAAAACCTGGGACCCTGCACCCATGTGACGCAGCACTAGCCATTGCCATCTTCTGGGGAGTAAATTGTTGTGCCGGTTTTTTGAAACCCCCAGATAATCATCAAGTCTGAAGTCGGTGCTGAGGCAAAAAGGTGGTTTATTCAGGTTAGCATGGCTGGGCGGGGGAGGGGCAGCCGCAGCCGAGGCTGCAAGGATCCACAAGGAGGACAAAAGAAGCGCGAGCCAGAAGAGCCCAGGGAGCCCAAGCCCCCCAGTTCTTATACATTTCAGGCTATTAATTATACAGTCGCGATTTAGTAGGCTTCTATTGGTGGGTTTGAAACAAGCAACTTTTAAAAAGTACAAATCAATGAGCTATTGGGCTGTGAATCTTATCAAACACCAGGTACCTCCTTCCTGAGGAGTGGTCTGCCTATGCTACCTGCCAGGTGTCACATAGACTATCAGGCCTGAGGTTCACACAGCCCCCAGCCAAGCCATTAAGGCAGAATCACAAAAGGCAGAAAACGCCTAGGTTCTTCAAAATCATCGGACAGAAGATCTTCCTGTCTCTCCTCTTCTCTGTATATCTGACTTTCCAATAAAAATAAAGAAATGTTTTAAAATATATATTATGTATTGGTTTTTGTCCCACATTTCTAAATATGGTTAAGGAGAGATCTGGCAAGAATACATCAAATATGACAAAGGAGAGTTTAAAAATATGAAGAACCCGGCGCAATGGCTCAATAGCTAAATCCTCACCTTGCAAGTGCCAGGATCCCACATGGCCACTGGTTCCTGTCCCAGCTGTTCCACTTCCCATCCAGCTCCCTGCTTGTGGTCTGAGAGGGCAGTGGAGGATGGCCCAAGGCCTTAGAACTCTGTACCCACATGGAAAAATAAGTAATAATAAACAAATAATAAAAAGATAATATATATAAAATAATAATAAAATAAATCTTTAAGTGTGGAAAAACTACCTACATTGCACAAAGATGTGGGATGTGGAGCACAACTAAACAGAGCTGCAAAGACACTGCAGAAGCACTGGGGGTGGCACTGTGATGGGGCTCCAGGGGCTCAGGCAGAGGTCCCCCAGAACTTTGCCATGGTGTCTCATCTCAGCTTCCGTGAACTTGACCATCAATGCCCTGGTCTTTCTGCCCATAAGTTGGTGTTTTCACTTACATTTTTTTTAAAGATTTATTTTATTCTCATTACAAAGTCAGATGTACAGAGGAGGAGAATCAGAGGAAGATCTTCTCCAATGATTCACTTCCCAAGTGACCACAATGGCTGGTGTTGTGCCGATCAGGAGCCAGGAACCTCTTCCAGGTCTCCCACATGGGTGCAGGGTCCCAAGGTTTTGGGCTGTCCTTGACTATTTTCCTAGGCCACAAGCAGGGAGCTGGATGGGAAGTGGAGCTGCTGGGATTAGAACCAGCGCCCGTATGGGATCCTGGGGTGCGCGTTCAAAGCGAGGACTTTAGCTACTAGGCCATGGCACCAGGACTGTTTTCACTTATTTTTAAAATTCCGATCTTACCAGAGGGCACTATGAGCAGCCTTCATCCCCCGTCCCTTGTCCTCAGGAACCTCCAGAACCTGTTGATTCTGACGGCCATCAAGGTGGACCACACACGGGTCATGGATTACATCAGCCGCCTGGACAACTACGATGCTCCTGACATCGCCAGCATTGCCATCAGCAGCGCGCTCTACGAGGAGGCCTTTGCCATCTTCCGCAAGTTCGATGTAAACGCCTCTGCCATCCAGGTGGGTCTCCAGTGGTCATGTGGAACCCCAGTTAGCACCTCCTGGAGGCCGGGTCGTGGCCTGGGATGTCAAGACCTCATGTCCAGTGCCCTATAGTCCCTTCCCAGTTGCTGGTTATGGCACCCCTTCCCCCATCCCTCTTGTGGATGTGGGTACCTGGCCACATGTGGTGAACCCTAGAGACGGGACATCTCAGATGCACTGCTACCTTACCCCATGTGGTGGAGGTTAGGCCGCTGTGCTCATTAAACTTCCACCCACACTCCCCAGGACACACCATTAGCAGAAACTATTCAGAGGTTGAGCTCCTGGAGCAATCTTTCCAACTCCCTGCCCCTCTTCCATTCCCCAAATACACTTAATGTGAGCCACATCCCTTCTTCCCAGTTGGGGCCTTTCCTACTTTTATTTCCAAATTAATTTTAACCCACAGCATGTGTCCCTTTAACTGCCCTCCTACCAATGTTCCTTACTTCCTGGCCTCTTACCATTTTTCTGTACCCTCGTGTATAAGCCCTTCTGTCGTGTGCAAACATGGGCCCCAACCACATGAGGGGGTGGCTGCCTGTACTGTGACCCAGTCTTCTAGGCTGCTGAGCAAGAGGAATGCCCTGTCTTGCTGCACAAGAGGTTGAGCTTGGCCATCTCCTTTGTCTATGCTGCTTTGCTAGAGCATCTCTTCTCTCGTTGAGTATACTCTGCATGGAATAGCTCTTGTCTCCCCCTCAGTTCACTTATTGGAGAAATATTTGGTCCCTGGTTGTGAGGATGGGATTGAAGTGGCCATGCTGCTTTGGGCAGAAGAAGGAACCAGCCCAAAGCAGGTCTATGTCTGGCGGTTGCTCCAAATCTTCTTTTGTCCCTAGGTCCTGATTGAGCACATTGGAAACCTGGACCGAGCCTATGAGTTTGCAGAGAAGTGCAATGAGCCTGCTGTGTGGAGTCAGCTGGCCCGGGCCCAGCTCCAGAAAGACCTGGTGAAGGAAGCCATTGACTCCTTTATCAGAGCTGAGGACCCTTCTTCCCATCTGGATGTTGTCCAGGCAGCCAGCAGGAGCTGTAAGTACATCTCCCCTTCAGGGGGGAGCCATGCCTCACTGCTGCGAGGGGCTTCCCAGGAGCCTCTGGGTGCTGTGAGTCCACCCAGTGACATCAGCAGGCACAGCTTGGTGGATATTTTCCAATAGCCAAGACAGTTTCATGCGGTCAACTAAGCTAGTTTGGCCTATGTGAGCCTCCTTCACAGGATGATGCAGTCAGTTGTGCTAATTCTAAGGTCTGGGACTTGGCCCACAGTTCCCTGGTAATCTTCTGGCCCCAGCCTCTCCCTGCCCCTTAAGAAGCCCTCACTTGGGGACAAGGAGGTTCCTAGCCCTGGGGCATTTCACCTGTGGTTCTGCCCCTTCTTCCCCTTCTCTCTCCAGGAATCAGACAAGTGGCCAAACCTGCTGGCCTTGCCTGGATGCCAGCTTTTCTGCAGGCACACTGGGGAGGATGGCCTGGGACATTGAAGACCTGTTTGAAATGAATCAGAGCTGGATTAGCGTGTGTCTGTTTTTGTCTCCAGGCAACTGGGAAGATCTAGTTAAATTCCTGCAGATGGCGAGGAAAAAGAGCCACGAGTCCTACATAGAAACTGAACTCATTTTTGCCTTAGCTAAAACCAGCCGTCTCTCTGAGTTAGAGGAATGTATTAGTGGACCCAACAATGCCAACATCCAGCAGGTAGGCTGTGTCCTTGGACCTGCAACGCACAAGGTCTTTGTCCCCCTCTCTTCCTCCTTCCTTCCTTCCCTCCCTCCCTCTCTCCTCCCCCCTCCCTTTCTCTCTCCCTCTTCCCCTCCTAAGCTTCCCGTCAAATAAATAAGATAAATCATAATAGTGAATATCTGTATTTGTGTGTGTATATGTGTGTGTGTGTGTGTATTCACTTGAAAGGTAAAGTGAGAGAGAAAGATGAGTTTTCCATCTGCTCGTTCACTTCCCAGATGGCCGCAGTGACCCTGCTGAGTCAGGTGACAGGACACTAGAACTCTGTCTCCCACACGGGGCGGCAGATGGCCCAAGTCCTTGCAAACAAAATTCTTGGGCCATCTGCTGCTGCTTTCCCAGGAACATTAGCAGGGAGCTGGATCAAAAGTGAAATAGTTGGAATTTGAGCCAGGACTCTGATATATGTAATGCTGGCATCCCGAGTGGCGGTTTCACGTGCTGTGACACAACATTGACCCTTCTTGTTTAAAATGTATTTGTTAGAAAGGCATCTGCTGGTTCACTCTCCAGATGTTCACAGTAACCAGAGCTGGGCCAGGCCAGAGCCAGGAGCCAAGTACTCTGTTCTCTCACGTGGGTGGCAGGGACCCAAGTGCCTGGGTTACTGGCTGCCTCTTGGGTATATGTGCAGGCAGCTGGATCTGGAGCAGAGGTGAGTTTCAATCCAGCCACTCCAACATAGTCCCAAACAGTGACTTAGCCACTGCACCAGAGCATGCATCCTAAATTTTATTTTATATACTAAGAAAGCCAAAATGTAAATGAACCCTAACATTCCCCCCTCAATTTTCTTAAATAGAAAAGGATATAAGTAATTATAAAGCTGTCATGCAGATAAAATGTTACCCCTTGGAAGACATGACAAAAAGAGATAGAGAAAGCCCGGCACTATGGCTCAATTGCTTAATTCTCCCCATGCAAGCACCAGGATGCCATATGGGCACTGATTCATGTCCTAGCTGCTCTATTTTCCATCCAGCTTCCTGTTTAAGGCCTGGGAAAGCAATGAAGTATGGCCCAAAGCCTTGAGACCCAACACTTGTTGGGAGATCCAGAAGAAGGTCCTGGCTTCAGATCAGCTAAGCACTGGCTGTTGTGGCCATTTGGGGAGTGAACCAGTGAATAGAAGACCTCTCTGGGGCCCGGTGCAGTGGCCTAGCAGCTAAAGTCCTCATCTTGAATGTGCCAGGATCCCATATAGACACTGGTTCTAATCCTGGCAGCCCTGCTTGCCATGCAGCTGATCTTTCTCTCTCACTTTACCTTTCAAGTGAATACACACACACACACACACACACACACACACACACACACACACACACACACACGATGGCCTGGGAAAGCAGTGGAGGACAGCCCAAAGCCTTGGGATTCTGTACCCACACGGGAGACCGAGGGGAGCTCCTGGCTTCGGATTGGCACTGGCCATTGTGGTCACTTGGGGAGTGAATCATTGGATGGAATATCTTCCTCTCTGTCTCTCATACTCTCAATATGTATCTGACTTTGTAATAAAAAACAAATAAATCTTTAAAAAAAGACTTCTTTGTCTCTCCTTCTCTCTGCAAATCTGACTTTCCAATAAAGAGAAATAAATATTTTAAAAAAGAGAGAGATACAGAGACAATGTGCTGCCTTGGAAGTCCACAATGATTCCAGATGTGCTTTTACTTTTTAAGATATAGTTATTTTTTCTGAAAGGCAGAGTTACAGAGAGGAAGAAACAGAGATGTAGGCAAAACTGGGCCAGTCTGAAGCTGGGAGTCAGGAGCTTCCTCAGGCCTCCCACATGGGTGCAGGGGCCCAAGCACTTGGGCCATGCTCTGCTGCTTTCCTAGACCACTAGCCGTGAGCTGGATGAGAAGTGGAGCTGCCAGGATGCGAACCAGCGCTCACATGGTTGTGGCCATGGCAGTCCCTGGCTGCTCCTGATGGACCACAAGGTTGTCGCAGCATAGCAGCTCAGGGATGGCGGGAGGAGGAGCAGCTGTGCATCCTGACAGGAGTCAGGGTTTGCTCCGTGATTGTTGGCGGGCAGGAGAGGGAACACACTTCCTCAGACCCAGTGCAGGTGTGGCAGGTGACAGCCAGGACCACATAGGAGTAGGTTAGAAGGGACAGGGCTGGGTACCCCACAACAGCCTGTGCTCCTGGGATACTCAGAAGAAACACACTTCCTGAGCAACCTGAAGATGACTTCTACCATACAGGCTTAAACACCCTGGGACTGACTGGTTGACTTTGCACTGGGGACTGAGCTGCTGCTTGGAATACCCGTATGCCACATCGGAGTCTCTAGTTCAAGGCCCGCATCTTCTTCCAGTACAGTTTCCTGCTCATGTGCCTGGAAGGCAACAGATGATGGCCCCAGTACTTTGGTACCCACCTGCCACCATGTGGGAGACCCTGGTGGCTGGTGGCATTCCTTGATCTTAACTATGGCAAGCATCTGGGGAGGAACAGCAGGTGAAAGATCTCTCCACATCTGCTCTCCTGTCTTCTCATTGCTTTCCCCCCATCTCCAAACTCGCTCTGGGGAAGTCTTCCCAGGTCACGTGTCTCAGCAGAGTTTCCCCAATTGTTCCTAGGTTGGAGACCGCTGTTATGAGGAGGGGATGTATGAGGCTGCCAAGCTGTTGTACAGCAGCATCTCTAATTTTGCACGCCTGGCTTCTACCTTGGTCCGCCTTGGTGAATATCAGGCAGCAGTGGACAGCAGCCGCAAGGCCAACAGCACTGGAACATGGAAAGAGGTAAGATGTGGGAAGTCCCCAGAGGAACGTGGGCCAGCAGTCACTCTGCTTGTGCTTCCTGCTATGTCCAGAAGGGCAGAGTCTGCTCACTGGCCCCTTGTCCAGGCAAGGCTGTAAAGCCTCTGGATGGCTTAGAGGACCTCATCAGCTGGCCTCACAGTGGGAAGCAAAGGCCCACTCAGCTCCCAGGGGTCTTAATAGTAGGGGATTGTCAGTGTGAGGTGTTGCAATGTTTGTAAAAATTCTGTCCATCTCATTACTAGCGTCCTGAGTGTTAGCTGGCATTGTTAGTCTTTTACAACAGGTGAATAGGGCAAGTCACCTTGAGGTTCTCTAGTAGTATCAGAGACATCTGTAAGTAGAAAATGCTTTGTGAGCAATGGAGAGCTTCAGCGAGTCTGACACATTCAGATGTCCAGCATGAAGGCACAGTCAAGGAGTGTGTTTGCCATGGCCCTGCCCTGTTGCTCAGGCTGAGTGAACTGACAGGCTGTCTGCAGGGCAAGCACATGGTGTCCAGGAGCACTGGCAGGGCATTGCTGTATTTACCACTACATGAACTGGTGGAAAAGAGCCTGCATGCAGCTCTACTCCATGCCACTTGCTGTCCCCTGCCTCAGGCCAGTCACTGTTTTTGCTCACCTGCACATTCCCAGCTTTGTAAGAGCATAAGTTGTGTGTGGACAACTGGGAAGCAGGGAAACTTCCCAGAAAGCCAGCCATGGCTCAGGGTTGGCCTGGTTTGTCCCCATAGGACGTGCCACTCCCAGGGCCCTTGCTGCCAAGTACACAATGGTGGCGTGCACCCAGTAGGAGTTGAGTTGAGTGGGACTGAAATGACCTCCTTGGGGGGAATGTGCTCAGAGGAAGCTGCCCCAGTGATAGTCACTGTGTGGCATTGATGGACGCTCCGACACCCCAGCTGCTCTTGTCACTAAACAAACCTGCACTCCCAGCATGAGTGATAATGCGTGGACCTGCCAGTGACATGTCATCAGTTTTCCCCAGTTTTTGCTCATCTCCCATCAGAAAGGCTGGTGGTAGGAAGGAGAGTTTGGCAATCCATGGTGTGGTGTATTTAATGATCCACATTTTCTGTTAGTTTCTTGGAGCCCTTCATGCTTAGGTGGGATCTAATTTGAGAGTCCACAGTGCTGGTGTTTTTCCGTGTCAACCAGCTGCCTGGTACTGTGTGGTACTGCCTCACGCCGACCCTCCTTTCCCCAGGTGTGCTTCGCCTGTGTAGATGGCCAGGAGTTCCGCCTGGCACAGCTGTGTGGCCTGCACATCGTCATCCATGCAGATGAGCTGGAGGACCTGATTCGCTGTTACCAGGTGACGACTGCTTGGCTGGGCTACCCTCTGCTAGGGCAGCATGTGTTCTCCCCACGGAGGCACAGGCAGTCATGCTGCCCAGCACATGGAGGTCACAGGTGGCACCTGCGGGGAAGCACATGCATAGCACTGTCTCTGGGTTCTGAAAAGTCCTCGTTCTTCCCTGGCATCCTTGGGCTCTCAGAAGCCCCTCAGTGCAGAGCTTGCCAGGAACACCAGGCCAGTGGTAACAGAGCCTCATCCCAACTCTAGTTCCCCAACATGTGCAGCTCACGGGGTCTGGCCATCAGATGTCCTGGGTGCAGAGTGGGGCACATGTGCGAGAGGGAGCCCTGGTAGTCGTGAGGTTCACATGGCAGTTCGGCTCTATGAGCTCCAGAGGAACCCTGGTGAGTGTTAGATCTGAATCACACTGGCATGATCTGGCCGCCTAGGATTCGGTATTGCTCAGCTGGGTTGCTGTTGCCATGAGTTCAAATCCCAGTCCCCCTCACTCAATGAAAAGCAGCCAGGAGGGGACCCTGACTGGCAGAGGGAAATGCTTGGACGGAAACTGTAAAGCAAACAGACAGCTGCAGCATAGCCCTGAGTAACTAATGCTTCTGTGAGTGTCTCTGCACCTGCCGGGTCCCTGGCGTTAACTAGGGACATTGTAGATTGCATTCAGTGAGATGGACAGAGAGTAGCAGACCTGACTACTAATGACACTGGGCTTCTGAGGTAGTACGTTCTAGAGGAAGTGAGGTCCTGGGAGGGCCTGAACTCAAAAGGATCAGTTGGCTATACTCATGGAGAGAGGAACATTGGAGCAAAGACCTGAAGAAGTGAAACATTTGGCCCTGGGGACACTGAGGCAAGGGTCAGTGCCTGCAGGTTATCTGAGGCAAGGAGCAGAGAGGGGAGGGAAGGTGGACGGCATCTAGCTATTTGGAAGAGTTGTGAAGAATTCAGCCTGTGCCGAGAGTGGAACCTTGCTGTGGAGCTACTTGTGAAGGGGCTCTCCGGCCCCTGTGCTGAGAGCAGGCAGCCCCAGTCAGGGTCAGGACCGGGGCTGGGCACACGCCTGGAGACTGGCAGTGGATGAGGCAGTGGGTGGGGATGATAGAGCAGCAGGGCCTGGACTTGTCTGGGGTGCGTTTGCATGTGCAACTGACTTGACAGGCTCACGGAGATAACTGTGAAACAGTGACCATCGCAGCGTGGAGAGAGGACCATAGATGGCACCTGCTGGGAGGGAAGCCAGCGGTGAGCGAGCTGAGCTGGAGCTGTTGATCGGCTCTTCTGGAGCGTGTCAGGCAGCTGCAGCAGAGTTTCATGTTCCAGGAAGGAGCCTTGTTGGGGAGAGTGAAGTGGGATTTGCTGAGAGGTGATGTCTAAAGACTCAGGATTATAAGAGGTGCTCTGGGGTGAGTGCTGGTAAAGGACTGCCAGAAGCCTCCTGCCCAAGTAGGGTGAGAAGAGGAGAAGCAGGGAATTGAAGGTCTGTATTGTAGGTGATGTGTCTCACAGCTGCTGGGCTGGTGGAAGATCGCTGGTGACCAGGAGTCCTGGTGGCATCCCTAGCCTGGCCAGGTGGCCTGGAGGGCACAGAGCAGTTCACCTGAGGGAAACTGCTGGTAGCAGACACAAGACTAGGAAAGGAAATGAAAGGCCAAGAGAGTGAGACATGTGCCCAAAGCCAGCTGGGGAAGGTGGAAGCCATGTGGGATGGAGGGAAGCTGCTGGTACAGGGGCTGAGCAGGCCAGCGGGCATCAGGAGTGAGCTAGGCAGCAGGGACGCCCTGAGAGGGGCCCAGCGTGTCTGTGTGATTAGAAGTGAGAGGTCCTCTGTAGTCAGTGGCCACTGACACATGGGGGGACAGTCGGCAGGGCCAGGGCTTTGTGTGGAGAATATGGCAGAGGAGACCTGGGCCTGAGTGCAACAGGCTGTCTGTCACACAGGGACCAGAGGGTGCTGTCCTGACAGGAGTTGAGGGCTTATTGGAGCCAGGGTCCCAGAAGGCATGAGCTACAGGGACAGAAAGCAGAACAAGTCACCCTTGCCCTGTTGCCCTGTTGCCCATTGAATTTGCTCCACACTTCTCACAAGACACTTGACACAAGAGTGTCAAATTTCCCAACCAGTTGCCGAGCAGGAGGGTGTGGATACAGCAGGGGCCTCCCCAGGATCCTCTCATTGGGAAGGGTAGCTGCAGCCAGTGACTGAGACGCTGATGCTGGGCCCCACATATGCCTGTTGGTCTGCCAGGATCGCGGCTACTTTGAGGAGCTCATCTTCCTGCTGGAGGCAGCTCTGGGCCTGGAGCGGGCCCACATGGGCATGTTCACAGAGCTGGCCATCCTCTACTCCAAATTCAAGCCGCAGAAGATGCCAGAGCACCTGGAGCTCTTCTGGTCGCGTGTCAACATGCCAAAGGTATCCCACACCTCTTCCCAGATCCCAGCTGCTGAGGGGGACCCTGGCTCAGTCAGCCTGAGCTCGCCTGTGACCTCCCCACAGGTGCTGAGGGCTGCAGAGCAGGCACACCTGTGGGCAGAGCTGGTGTTCCTATATGACAAGTACGAAGAGTATGACAACGCCGTCCTCACTGTGATCAGCCATCCCACCGAGGCCTGGAAAGAAGGTCAGTTCAAGGACATCATTGCCAAGGTAAGCGGGGACATGGAGCAGCCACTTCTACCTGCATCTGCTGGGCCTTGTTTGGGTGTTCAAGTGGAGCAGGGCTGCAATGAAACCAGCATGTGCTCTTTGCGCTCTGTGCACGTTGGTCTTCTGGGAGTGTTGCCATACCCTGGGCAGGGGGCTGTGATTCCTTCTACTTGAAGGGAGTGGACACAGAGGGAGGCAGGCTCAGTTGAAGACAGGGTCAAGTGCTAGGCCACACGCTAGGGCCCCTCTGTCAGCCACTCAAGCTGTTGGCTTGTCCAGGCTTGACCAAAGCATCAGGTGAAGATTGGTTGGTTTGTACTTCTAGTCTCCAAGTGGGGCTGATCTGTGGACTCATCAACTCTGCACCTGAATTGGGAAGAAAGGAAATGAGATTCTCTTGAAACTGACAGCCAGTCCTTTGTATTGCATGTTTAGATTTTTTTTTTTTTTTAAGTATTAGAAAGAGAAAGAGAGCTCTTATATCCATCAGTCTACCCCCCCCTCCCCCAACACACACACAATGCCCACAATAGCTAGTAGGCCAGCCAGGAGCCCAAAACTCAATCCTAGTTCTCTGGTAGGATGACAAGGACAGTCACGTGGGCTGTTGCCTGCCCTCTTGCAGTGTCTAGTATCAGGACTCAGAGCCAGGAACTGCACCAGGTACAGGTGGCAGCCTCACCACTAGGCCTTGTGTCCCAGGTCTTCCTTAGTGTACTGGAGGAGCTGCCTTGCATTAAGCTCCTCCCCTCTGCTGTGTGCCCAGGAAAGGAAGTATCTGAGTATGATTTGGTTCCACCCCCTGGATCTGGGGCTGGGAATGGCAGTCCAGCAGCCTCTCCCAGCTGGGGGCTGTTGCAGCTCTTGTGCCAGCCCTTTCCCCCCACACACATACACACACTGAGGTTGGCATGGGTGGCAAGTGGGCTCAGAATGAGGCCTTCCACCTCTAACCTTCCAGGGAACTGTTAGGAGTGGTCCTCTAAGTTCCACAGCTGTTCCAGAACTTCCCAGGGGAGGATGGCCATGTCTCCCAGCAGGCATGAAGCCAGTGGCCTCCCACGGGTGTGTTGCCCAGCGCAAGGACAGTGGGATGCTGCTGGAGTGTGGGTAGGCTGGGTAGATAGGCCCAGCTGTGTGCTGTTTGTATCTCTTCCTCATACGAAGTGCATTTGAAGACTGACACTCCTCCATGGTGGATATGCCAGTGCTCTCTGTTCCAGTGACAGGGACACGGGAGATCTGCTGGGCAAGAGCACAGCATCTCTCATCTGTTGCTGGCAGAGCTGACAGCCAGGTCCTGCTTGGCTGCACACGTGGTGATTCTGCCTGCTCTGCCACACAGGGCAGAGGTACCAAACCCACATCGTGGCAGGAGGACAGTAGAGCAGTCAGAGTGGAGACGGTCCGTCTGTGTTCTGTGCATGTGCGTGGGCTGCTTTGGAATCTGCCTGTCACCAGGCTGGGCCTTGCTGACACAGATAGGGCTGGCGTGTCACTTCACTCATTCCCTATGTGTCACTGCTGTGCTCCTCGGGGCTTGTCACTTCAGTCTTTCACCGTCTGTCACTGTGACCCTGGTGTCCCTGCTGTTTCCCTGGGTGATCCCATCAAAAAGACGCACAGTGACTCCTCCTCACTGAGCAGTGGCAGAAGCCCGGGTATGCTGGAGCGGCTTCTCACAGTGACTGTGAGGATGTCCTCAGGAGCCACCACCTACCTCGGAATGCAGCAGCAGGTCATCCACAGATGCTGCCCAGCTCCCAGGCCCTGGGGCCCAGCAGGGCATGCACACAACGCACTCCCTCGGGCTCACCGCATGCCCAAGTGGGCTTGGCCACTGACTTTACCCTGTGCTATCTCCCCAGGGGCTCCAGAGGACAACACTGCCCCATAGAGCACTGGACACTCCAAACAGCCCCTGAGACCCGCTGCGTCCTCAGGTGACAGAGGGCACGATGCTCCACAGGCCTTGGCACCGAGCTGCCACACAGACTTGTTTGTAGGGGCTGAGCACATCCATTGTCCCAGAAGAGAACCAGGGCTCCTGGTCCCCACTGCCATGAGCACCATGGAAGCTCTGTTGGCACATATTACCCAGCACAAGAACCTTTGTGCCTGGCCTCTGCTCTTGCCCTAGCAGCTCTGGGCATCTTGTGGTGCACAAGTGAGGCCAGTGGGGCTTCGAGGAGGTAACTCACCCCAGGAGAACTTCAGCCCTGCCCACACTCCTCCCCCGTGTGACATTCTGAGCACCCCTCTGTGTGTTTGCTGTCTGAGTAAAATTCTCCTGTTCCACCTCGGGGCCAGCCGAGGGTAACAGGTTTCAGTGCTGTGATGCAGGCCTGTCCTTGGCAAACAGTGGGCAGAGCTGGGTCCAGCTGGGACATGGGGGAGGCTTTATGATAGGCCAGGTCACTGCCTGGCTGAGTGTCCTCAGGCAGGTCCTAGGCACCTCAGACTGGTGAGCTGAGTGCTGGAGCCCAGGAGGAAAAGAGCTGAGGAGGAGGAGGAAGAGCAACTAGTTACTCAATGCTCGAGGGCCTGGGGCTGCTCTCCCTCCACCTGCTGTCTTATGTGACTGCATTCCTGGAGGCGCCCATGGTGCCCACCCCTTCCCCAAGCCTGGCGAGAGCACATCACTGGACTGGACACTGTCCTCACATTGTCCTTGGCTTGTGCCCACCCATGGCAGGAGTTGCCTGCTCCCCTCATGGCAGAGCTGTGTGAAGGCTCCAGAACATGAGTGCCACAGTCGGCAACCTGCCAGATAACATTGCTCAGCAGGAAAGTGATGAGGGGCCAGGAGGGCACCTCCCAGGGACAGCAGCCTGAATAATGCTGGCATGTGACAGACACCTTCCTGTCAGAACAGGGTTTGCCCAGCGTGGCCTAGCACCTATCTAGGGCACCAGGCTCCTCTGGGGTCACAATGCCCTGAGGATGTCTCAGATATCCCTAGCAGCTTGAGCACAGAGGGCTGGGGTATAAAATGGGATGCATCTGGTATACACTGGCAGGACCACCTCTCAGATTCATTCAGCCGATTGACTGCACAGTGACCATGTGTCAAGACTTGGGGACAGATGCTGGGGTGAGACAGGACACAAAATTCTGCCTTTCTGAGCAATGCATGGTGTGTGAGGTGCCTGAGCCCAGCAGAAAACCTGCAGGCTCACAGGGCCTTTCATCTCATGGGGCTAGTCCAGCAGCCTTCATGAACCAGGTATCTCTGAGCTGGAGGGCAATGAAGTGGAGCCAGGGTGCCTGAAGATGGGCAGGCGCCAAGCTTGAGCTCTCCCCATGCAGGTCGCCAACGTGGAGCTGTACTACAAAGCCCTGCAGTTCTATCTGGATTACAAGCCCCTGCTCATCAATGACCTGCTGCTGGTGCTGTCACCCCGGATGGACCACACGCGCACCGTGGGCTTCTTCTCCAAGGTGAGACCCCGTGACACAAAGGCCTGGCCAGTCTAGGGGGTAGTTGATCCAGCACTGCACCCACGGTGTCCCCAGATGACATTGGTGTCAGGTGGCTGGCCTCAAAGTTCTCTCATGGCCCTGTGATCCTCTGTGTCCAAGGATGCCCTGCAGCTCCTGAGGCAGGCCCATGCCCTCCTGCCCCTCTGTCAGTGTGTCCCAGGCACTTCCACATGCATCCAACACTCTTGGCTGAATGTCCTGTGTCCACCTGTCAGGTGGGCCATTTGCCCCTGGTGAAGCCATATCTGCAGTCGGTCCAGAGCCACAACAACAAGAGTGTGAACGAAGCGCTCAACCACCTGCTGACAGAAGAGGAGGACTACCAGGTAGCTAGGCCGTGGAGGCAGTGGCAGCAGCGGATGCCAAGCTGGGGTTCACAGTATCTCCTCCCTCATGGAAAGCCTGTCTTCCCAGGGCCTGCGGGCGTCCATAGATGCCTATGACAACTTTGACAACATCGGCCTGGCTCAGCGGCTGGAGAAGCACCAGCTGATTGAGTTCCGGCGCATCGCAGCCTATCTGTATAAGGGCAGCAACCGCTGGGTCCAGAGCGTCGAGCTCTGCAAGAAGGACCATCTGTACAAGGTCGGTGCCCTGGTCCCGGAGTGGAGGTGGTAGTGGTGTGTGTGTCCCTCCCTTTTCTCGCTGAGGTCTAGCTCTGAGCCCCACCCAGGGATCCTGGAGGAGAGACTGAATGTAAGAACATGGAGTGAAAGTTCAGTTGAGAGCCCCTTAAAAAGTGTATAATTTGGAAGATCTTTGTGGAGTCCTGCAGAGTGGGTTATCCTCCATCAGCGATTTGTGACTTCTCTGCCCAGACAGGGCTCCCTTCTTGCCACCTGCTTTGTTTCCTATCAAAATTTTAGAAATGAAAACCTAAATTTACATCAAATTCAAAACATTTCCAGCAGTGACAGGTAGCCTAGCACTACTGTCAGATGTGGATCTGAGCACTTGAGGGTCAAGCTGGACTGCCTGGCAAGTTGCCAGACTCATCATTTGCATGTCCTGCTCCTGTCCCAGTGGGACAAGAATTGCATAAGAGGCCATTGAAGCTGGTGTGATGTGCTGTGAGAGGCCATGGTGTGCTGTGTGAGCCATGAAGTGCTGTGAGAGGCTATTGAGCACCGTGAGAGGTCATGGTGTGCTGGGTGAAGCCATGGTGTGCTGTGTGTACTCTGTGAGGCTGTGGTGTGCTGTGCATGCTAGGAGAGACCACGGTGTACTGTGTGAGGACATGGTGTGCTGTGTGAACTGTGTGACTCATCTGTGCCCGAGGGTTCTATGTCTCAGGAGATCCTGGAAGCCCCAGCAAGTGGTAAGTTGCTCTGGGTTCTCACTCTTTGAGTTGCCTTTGGCATTCTGAGTGTGTTTCCAGGACTTGTGGATAGAGACTCATTCCTGTGGCCCCTGGGCTGCAGTTGCAAACCCTCTGAGTCATTAATCCCTGCTGTGTCCCCTCCCTGTTGTCTCCTGGAGAATGGATTGTTGATGGCATTCTGGCCTGTAGTGACAGTGCTCAGGGTTCCTTGGGGTAGAGTGGAAATGCTGCCCAAGCTCGGAGGTGGCTGGGCATTGGCTCCTACGGGAGGCAGCAGCCCTCAGACACTGCCTGGAAGGCTGGTTGCATCTTCCCTGCCTGTCCTGTCACTCGGGCAATGACAAGGTTCTGCCAGGGAGTGGCCTCTTTCAGCCACAGAGGACAGAGCCAAGGGTGGAAGTGGCTCAGCAACTCTGCTAGGCCAGAGGTCCCCATTCTGCTGCAGTTTTGGACCCCTGGTACCGTTGGCTATCACTAGCCGGAGGCATGCTCAGTGGGGGTGGGGGTGGGTGTCACTCAAGAGATCCCCTGTGCCGTGGTCCCTACATACCCCAGAGCAGAGCTGCCTGAGAGTCACCCTGGGAGAGAGCAGCCCCCATGCAGCATGAACAGGTGTTGTTAGGATGTGAGCTTAGAGAGAGCCAAGAGCATCAGTGCAGGGTCAGCCTGCCACCAAGTGTACAGGGCACAAGGCAGGGGACCTTGAGGGCGTGAGCAGGCAGGGTCAGGTGGGGCCAGCATGGAGGCACAGGCTATGCTCTGAGAGGAGGAGGATCAGGGCTGTCAGAGTGGCAGGGGTGGGTTTGCTGGTAAGAGGAGCACAGGGAGGCAAACACTGAGGGCCAGCTCAGGGGAGCCTGCAGCTAGACCTGTATCCTAAGCACAGACCTGGAACCTCCAGAGGTACCCACCTTTAGCTAGGCTGACTAGAAGCTGGCCAAGGGTAGGCCATCTACATGAAGGACTGAGGTGGGGGGCACACCTATACCTGTAGACCCCCTGAACCTGTGCTGACTCAAGCCAAAAAGGCAGAACCCCAGAGGCTCTTGTAGGAACTGAATGAGGACCTGGCCAAGCAGGTGGAGGATGCTCTGAGGAGAATGCTTACCTGGGACTCCAGGATTTGGTGCACAGGACATGTTTAGAGACTCAGGCTTGTGCTGGTGCTGTGCAGGGTGATCAGCGAGAACATCTCCCCTCTGGCACCCTCCCCACAACAGGTATGCCTGGAGAGCACAGAGCGTGGTCACTGGGGCTGCCTCTGAGGGTCCCCGCTGTGAAAGGGGACAGTAACATGCAGCCAGAGGGCCATGCTGAGGTCAGGTGACATGGTCTGGGGGATGAGGGCAGGAGCCAGCATTGTTTCTCTGTGTACAGAGGCTCTGGGCCTCTGCCTGAATGTGTGCCTCGGTCACAGGATGCCATCCAGTACGCTGCCGAGTCACGTGACACTGAGCTGGCCACGAAGCTGCTACAGTGGTTCCTGGAGGAGGGCAAGCGGGAATGCTTCGCAGCCTCCCTCTTCACCTGCTATGACCTGCTGCACCCCGATGTGGTGCTTGAGCTGGCCTGGAGGCACAACTTCATGGACTTGGCCATGCCCTACTTCATCCAGGTGGTGAGGGAGTACGTGAGCAAGGTAAGTGCAGATCCCTGGTGAGCCTGTGGGAGGCCTGCCCTTGCCTGCCTTGGGCTCCCTTTCGTGGGTTTCTGCTGGGCAGTCATGTCTTCTAGAGTCACCTGGAGTGCTAAGCAGAACTGAGCATTTCCCACCCCCAACAGGCCACTCTGTGTACAGTAGGTGCCACTCAACACATCAACTCCCAGGGCTGCCAGCACACAGCCCCCAGCCAGGCAGGGCAATCTCACCAGAAAGCTTCTAGCAGGAGAGGCAGGGGGTAGAAGCTGTTGGCACAGCTCTTGGAGGTAACCCCCTACTGCTGGGCACTCTGTCAGCATCTCATCCCTGTCTGCGTGCTTCCCCACACACCTTGTTGAGGTGGCAGTGTCAGTATGGCACAGAAGCCCATGGGCCCAGTGCGATGGCGCAGTGGTTAAGGTCCTCGCCTTGCACGCCCGGGATCCCATATGGGTGCCGTTCTAATCCCGGCGGCCCCGCTTCCCATCCAGCTCCCTGCCTGTGGCCCCGGAAAGCAGTCGAGGACAGCCCAAAGCTTTGGGAACCTGCACCCGCGTGGGAGACCCGGAAGAGGCTCCTGGCTTCGGACTGGCATAGCATCGGCCGTTGCGCTCACTTGGGGAGTGAATCATCTGATGGAAGATCTTCCTCTCTGTCTCTCCTCTTTGTATATCCACCTTTCCAATAAAAAATAAAATAAATCTTAAAAAAAAAAAAAAAAGAAGCCCGTGGTGTGGTACCTAGCTTTACTGTCCAAAGGTCTGCCTGGCCCATTCTGTTCCCAACACTGTGGAAAAGCATCTTGGGGCTGCACCTGCTTGTCCAGCCCCCATGCATGTTTTTCCACAATGCTGGGAACAGATTGGGTCAGGCAGACCTCTGGACAGTAAAGCTAGGTCCCACTGTCATTGTACAGAGGCTTTTTGCCACGTTGTAAAGGCAAGGGGGCCTCCCAGCTTAGTGTGGGGTACGAAAGGAATAAGTGGAGGAAGTCTGGCACACAGCCTTTGGGGAGCTGCTGCACTTGTGTGGCAACAGCCATCCCAGAAGCTGTCTTACGAGTAGTCCCCCAGCTGCAGGGCTGTGGCCCAGTCCCATCAACATAGCATGTCTGGGTGCAAGGCTCTGAGTGAGGGGAGGTGGCATCTCTGGCTGTGTGGCCTGGGGCCACGGATTGGTTGAATTGCCAAGGGTCCCTGGTTCCTCAGCCCATTGGACAGCAGCTCCCCGTGGGAGGCGTCTGGAAACCATTTGCCCTTTGGTAAGCTGCTCTTCCATCCACAGGGGCCTTGACCTGAGAATGTTCCCAAACAAGGGGAATGATTGGAAGATCTTCCTGCAGTAGCAGCCCAGGGGTTAGTGCAGGAGGACCTGGGGCCCACTTGGACCTCAGCTATGGGATGCAGAGGACCCTTTAGCACTGGGAAGCACTGCCCTCCTTGTTGTGGATGATGGCCGTCGTCCTGGCAGCCACTGTCACTGGTCAGTACTGTGACCACACAGCCTCCACTAGTACCCTAGGCTCTGCAACCTCCCGCTGACATTTCTGCCAGGGCCAGACAAGCTGCCAGCCACAGCAGGAAGAGTCTTCAGCCCTATGGGCTGGTTCTCTGCTTCAGCTTCTCTAACAGATGCACTGAGAGGATAAGGGGTCCACACGAGACAGCCCTGACTCCCTCTCCTTGGACAGCGGGGACCAGGGAAGCTGCAGACTGTACCTGAGAGAAGGTACAGTCTGACGCTCCGTGGAGGAAGGGTGCAGGCCTGGCTAAGACCTGCTTGTGCCGGCAGGAGGCCCACAGTGCCCACAGTGTCCTTCCTGCTCCTTTCTCAGCCCTGAGCACAGCCAGTAGGGATTAGCACCATTCTAACTACCTGGTGCTTGTTTGGGAGAAACCCACCCCAGCACCACGCTGTCTGCTGCCTAATCAGTGGACAGTGCTCAGAGGCAGCCTTGTCCAGTGTCAGCATGTGGTGGCAGTGGTGACTGTCCAGAGGCAGCTCCCAGGAGCCCACTGCTGCCTCACTGGGAAAACAGGGCTGGGGCAGCAGCCACCCCACTCACATGTGCCCAGCACTTCCTCTCCTAGAGCCCTGTGACTTGGTGCCATCAGGTGGACACTCATGAGCCTCTTTTGCAGATGGACAGATTGGATGCCCGGGTCAGTCTGTGCAAGCAAGAAGAATACATGGTGGAGCCCGCCCCACTCGTCTTGGGCAGGGGCGGGGCAGGGGAAGAGGCTGCTGGCTGCCAGGCATTGGAAGGTCAGTGTGTCCAGGAACACGGTGCGGCTCTGTCTTGCCTGCTTGCAGGTGGGGGTGCTGCCCCAGTGGGTGCCGCTGTGTGCGCCCTTGCTTCCTGTCCAGGCGGAGAGCTTGGCTGGCTGGCTGGCTGGCTGGCTGCCGGGGGTGGTGAGCACTGCCGGCCCCACTTCCACTTCCTGCCAGGGCGTCCTTCCCAGGCCTGACCACCATTAACGTCCATCTGGTTTTTTTAGATTTTGATGGGCATGAATGAAACCCTGCTGATTGAGCTATAAGTAAGTGTCCCGTCTGAGGACTAGCTTGCCTCTAGCCCCGCTGGTGGTGGCTGGTCCCACAGCCGCTCCCTGGCCTCCAGGCACCTGCTCTCCCCACGCCCCACACCCCACGCTGCAGCCCCTGGGCGCTCAGGGCCTTCACGTGGCCCTGGCTCCTCAGCCCCGGGGGCAGCTCCACTCACTGGGCTTTCCTCTGCAGGCCAGCCGCTGCTGCTGACCACAGGCCCTGGCCCTGCCAGCTTCTCCCGTGGATTCGCGACCTTCGCCTTCTTTCAGCCTCCCACATTTGACTAGCGTGCAGTGGGGTGCTCTGTGGTGACACAAGTTTTCCACATCATCACCCTCTTCCCGGAGCCTGTCCCTCAGAAGCACAGAGGATCCCGCTGGGCGGCGGGGACATTCGACACATTATTTATTTCTGTTGAAGCTCAGTGACGGCAGCCTCGGAGCCATCCTGGTGTATGGGGAGCCTGGGGTAGACTCCAGACTGCCCAGCGCTGCCAGCCGAGAGCTGGACCCACTCCCAGGAAGGCCCGCGGAGCCCACTGAGGCCACTTTGCACCACATATGGACACGGGTGGAGGTCTCCGCCCTCCCTGCGTGGCTCGGGGCCTCCCGCCCATGGCAAATATTAAAGTCACTTTATCAAGACAAAACTGCAGTGCTTGGTGTGGGTGAGCGGGACCAGGTTCGGGATGGGTGTGGGGGCTGCCGAGGAGAAAGCAGAGCGTTGCACGCCTGCTGGGCTTTCAGGTCCCAGCTCGCTGCCTGCAGCTACGAGCCCGAGACGGCCAGGGCGGTAACCCCAGACTGCACGCCCGCGGCGGCCGGGCCCACGTGTCGGGGCTGCGGCGCCCGCTCCCTGCAGGCCCCGGCGCGCCGTGGGCGCTGCACCCTGACCTACAGCTCCCGCGGGCGCCGCTCCGCCCCCGGCCCGCCCCCCGGCCCGCCCCCGAGCTCCGGGCCGGAGAGGTGCAGCCTATTGGCTGCGCGGCGCGCCCCGCCCGGACGCCTGCCTCGCCGCGCCCCGCCCCGGCCTCAGTTTCCCAACCGGGGCGGGGGCGGGGCGGGGCCCGGCTCGGACCACGCTGGGCGGAGCCCGGGGGCTGACGCGGCCGCCCCGCCCTCAGGACTATAACCGGCCGCCGCACCGCGGACCGGGCGCCCCTTGTCAGAAGCTCGGACCCGAGGCCGGTCCCGGGCGCCCCGCCTCCCGCCCGCCATGGCCGCGCCACCTCGCGCTCTGGCGGCCGCCGCGCCCGCGCCCGGGAAGGCCAAACTGACGCACCCGGGAAAAGCTATCCTGGCAGGTGGGCCGCTCCGGACCGCGGACCCCCGCCCCGCCCGCTTCCGGGTGGGCCCGGGACGGCGAGGCCCCGCCCCACTTCCGGGTCGGCCCGGCGGCAGGGGGCCGGGGGCGCGGCCGGGGTCCCCCACCCGCCGCCTCGCCGGGACCCCGGGGCGAGGGCGCGGGCGGGCGGCGGCGCTGGACGGAGTCCGTGGCGGGGGAGGGGCGAGAGCCGGCCTGGTGGGGCCCGCGGGGCGAGGGTCTGAGGCGGCGGGTGCCCCGTCCCGGCAGGCGGCCTGGCGGGCGGCATCGAGATCTGCATCACGTTCCCCACCGAGTACGTGAAGACGCAGCTGCAGCTGGACGAGCGCGCGCACCCGCCGCGGTACCGGGGCATCGGTGAGGAAGAGGCGGCCAGGGGCGGGCCCGGGCACGCGTACCCCGGGGCGACGGGGTGCTGACCGGCTCTCCTGCTCCCGCAGGCGACTGCGTGCGGCAAACCGTCCGCAGCCATGGCGTCCTGGGCCTGTACCGCGGCCTCAGCTCCCTGCTCTATGGCTCCATCCCCAAGGCGGCCGTCAGGTGAGGCCGGGGTCCGGGGCGCCTGGCGCGGGCTGCAGCAGAAGCCCCTGTCTTACCCACTCCCCTCCCGCAAGGTTCGGCACCTTCGAGTTCCTCAGCAACCACATGCGGGACGCCCAGGGGCGGCTGGACAGCACGCGCGGGCTGCTGTGCGGCCTGGGTGCCGGCGTAGCCGAGGCCGTGGTGGTCGTGTGCCCCATGGAGACAGTCAAGGTATGTGTGGGGGCACCCGGCATGAAGGGGGTGCTGGGCTTCCTGAGGCCATGGCATAGATTCCGGGACAGGGGCCAACAGGTGACTGCTGGTGGACTTTATCCCAAACGTGATATCAAAGTATGGAGGAAGGTGGTATCAGCGTGTTTGAGTGCCCCAGAGAACAAAATGTGGGGGCTGGGGTACATGGACAGGGGCTTGGGTGCCCCTTGGCAAGCAGCTGGCAGTTGGGGCCTTTGCCTCTGTCTCTCAGGTCAAGTTCATCCACGACCAGACCTCCCCCAACCCCAAGTATAGAGGGTTCTTCCACGGAGTCCGGGAGATCGTGAGGGAGCAAGGTAGGCTGGGGGAGGCCCCTGCTTTTCTTGCCACCCCCTCGGTCCCCCTCCCTGGTGGTGACTGACTCCTGGCTGCCTCACTGGCCCCCAGGGCTGAAGGGGACATACCAGGGCCTCACGGCCACCGTGCTGAAGCAGGGTTCCAACCAGGCCATCCGCTTCTTCGTCATGACTTCCCTGCGCAACTGGTACCGAGGTATGCCTGCCTGGCCTCAGCACACCCCTCTTCCCAGCCCTGGCCCCCCCCAGAGCCCTTTCTCCTTCTCAGCACCCTCTGACCCCACACCCTGCCCTGTCCTGCCCACATCCAGGCGACAACCCCAACAAGCCCATGAACCCGCTCATCACTGGGGTCTTTGGGGCCATCGCGGGAGCTGCCAGTGTCTTTGGGAACACCCCACTGGATGTGATCAAGACCCGGATGCAGGTAGGGGCTGGGGCCAAGGGAGGAGGGGCCCTGCCCTGAGAGCAGGCCAGTAAGGACCTGGTTGGTGTCCTGCAGGGGCTGGAGGCACACAAGTACCGCAACACGTGGGACTGCGGCTTGCAGATCCTGAGGAAGGAGGGGCTCAAGGCGTGAGTGCCCCAGGAGGGTTGCCCCTGCTTGCCCTGATCCCCTCCCCACTCCCCTCCTGCCTCTTCTGGCATTAACCTTCTTCCTCCCTCCCTCCTCCCCCCCCGCATCCCCACAACCTCTGCAGGTTCTACAAGGGCACGGTCCCCCGCCTGGGCCGGGTGTGCCTGGACGTGGCCATCGTGTTCATCATCTACGACGAGGTGGTGAAGCTGCTCAACAAGGTGTGGAAGACGGACTAAGTCCGGGGAGGGGGGACCAAGCCGGGGTCTGGGGGCTGCCTGGGGCCTCTGGGCTGCCACACCCCCTCCTCGCGATTCCAGTGTATTTGTGCCAAAAGGGCTGCTGCCCGTTGTCCCTTGAGCTCTGTGGTCTGGTCTTGTCCGTTGTGGCTCCCATGCGTTCTGTAGTGCCACGTCTTCCCAGTATGTGCACGCATCCAGCATGGCCGTGGCTGGGTGTCCCCGTGGCCTGTGGCTCCGTGCCCACCCGTCCGCGTGCTGCTTACCCCTGAGCCTGTGCTTCTGTCTTATGTTCCATGTCATGTGTCCCTGTGTCCCGCTCTCCCGGGGTGCCCATATGGCCTGGGTCCTATAGCCATGGCCCGGTCCCAGTCCGGTGCCTTCCCACCCTGGGCAGTAGGGGCGCCTGCCCCGGTCTACCACAGCTGCCTCTGGGCCGCAGCCTGGCCTCACCGCATTCCAGGGGCCATGTGCCCCCTGCTTTTCCCGCCTTTGGCCTTAAGTGGCCCTCGGGCCCTCCCTCCGCCCGGGACAGGGTGGCACTGCCACTCTCAGGACCACCCTGCTAAGGCAGAATAAACCGGATCCTGTCACAGCTGCCTGCCCTTGCATCCGTCCCTGTACGGGCCCATGTGGGGGGGGGGCACCCATGGCCATACCTCCACTGGAGGGATGGGGGTGTGGACAGCAGGCAGGGGGGCATGGGCAAGCTTGTGTCCAGCCAGGGTCAAGCAGCCATGGCTGCAGAGTCAGCTCCTTCAGACGTCTGGCAGCAGGCCGAGAAGCATCTGGGCTGATACAGGCCTCGCTGTGGCCTGTGGGCAAGACCCTGCAGAGTCAGCTGGAAGGCTGTGTCCACAAGGTCCTGGGCAGCTGGGCAAACAGCATGAGTGAGTAAAGGAGAGAAAGGCCCAGGCGAAAGTACGCAGGACATCTCCTGCCCAGACACGCCTGCTTTTGCGCCTCAACAGGTGGCATGAATCTGCAACATGGGTCATTCATGGGACACAGGGTGCAGGGATCAGGACCTGCATCTTCCAAGGGGGTGGCCGCTGCTGCCTGGGGGGAGGAGCTGCTAGGATGGGGCCTCCCGTGCCCTGTGACCCCATGCTGCACCCCAGCCCCAAGCTCCACATAATTGGAGCTGGGGTCTGAGGACAGGTGTCAGCACTGGGCACCAGAGGTGGCTGTGTGCTCCCCCAGGAACCAGCCCGGCAACAAAGCTCCCCCCGAGAAGCCGTCCTTCCCCTTCTTCCTTCCTACCACACACGCCAGGGCTGGGGCCACACGCAAAGAGGTTCCATGTCTCCTTATTCCAGGCCACCATCCCTGAACAACGGAAGTTTTGCTGTGGGGGGTGGAAGCAACACAGTGCCACAGTGTAGGCCACCAAAGGGTGCAGGGCCACTGGGGTGGCCTGCAACCTGTTAGCCACCCTACAGGCTACAGCATCTGTGAGCTGTAAGAGTCACCTGTGGGACAGTGTGACCTCAGGCAAGCCACCTAATCTCTGCTAACTTACTGCTACCAAAAGCAGCCACACTGGGTTTCAGGGATGACATAACCTGTCGGGGGCTTAGAACATCAGGTAGCAGAGTAAGCCAGTGCAATGGCTCACAGGCTAATCTTCCACCTTCAAGTGCTGGGATCCCATATGGGCACCAGTTCCTGTCCCAGCTGCTCCACTTCCCAGCCAGCTCCCTGTTTGTGGCCTGGGAAAGCCATAGAGGATGGCCCAATGCCTTCGAACCCTACACCTGCAAAAGAGACTCAGAAGTGGCTCCTGGTTTTAGATTGGATTGGCTCAGCTCCAGCCATTGTGGCCACCTGAGGAGTGAGCCAGCGGATGGAAGATCTTTGTCTCTTGTCTCCCCTTCTCATAAATATGCTTTTCCAATTAAAAAGAGAAATCTTCAAATAAGTCAAGTAAATCTTTAAGAAAATATTTAAAGAGCAGTAAGGGAGAAAGAGAGAGCTTCCAGGCCCTGTTATACTTCAGTAAAAATGGACATAATAGGAAGGGCCGGGCCAGAGCCCAGGAACTCCATCCAGGTCTCCACTGTGGGTGCTAGGGCCCACACGCTTGGGTCATCTTCCACTGCCTTTCCCAGGAGCATTTGCAAGCAGCTGGGACCACAACCCACAGCTTAATCCACTGCCACACCCAGGGTCCGCACCTGACTCCTGTTTACAACGGGTCAAGGCTGCCTTGCACTGAGAATAAGGTGCAGTGCCTTGGGACTGCGGCCCGCTGGGTTGCACCCCTTTGCGGGGAGCGGTAGGGCCCCCCCCCCCCGGGGCCCAGGAGCTGAGTCTTGGTCATCTTGGGATCATCAAGCACAGTGGGGTGAAGAGGGGAAATGGTTCCACTCGCCTTGGCAGAGCCCACACTGCAGGCCGCTTCACAGTTCACCTGCAGAAGGGCACCTCCATGCACATTCCTGCGCCTACCAGCTTTAGCAACCCTGAGGGCAGGAGACAGCAGGCTGGGGCCACCAGACCTGTCCTGGGGCGGTGGGGTCCAGAAACAAGCTGGGCAGGTCTCTAAACCTATGTAGGGGCGCCACAGGCTCCACTGCCCCCACCCGGCCACTCCGCACCCCGAGCCTGTCCCTGCCACACTCAGGAGTGGCAGGCAGAGCTTAGGAGCTTAAAAAAAAAAGCCAGAGGTTCCTGCCAGCTTCTTCCGTTTAGCCAACAAAGCTATGGTTTCCGGTTGTGTCCTTGCCAGCACGCACGGCCCACATAACCTCAGAGGAGGACAGAACAGCAATGGGTTTCCTCGCTTCACTTTATTTCCACATTGTCACACAATCCCCGGCAGGGGTCTCAAGGGGATCTGAGGAACGGGGACGCAGGCGCAGCAGCGAGCCAGGGCCTGTGGCGACCAGCGCAGGTGGCCCCAGAGCTCCCCTGGGATGGGATGCTCGCCCCGACCCTCCTGCACGTGGCCCTTTGGGGCGCTGCGGGTCCCCTGGCCGCACCCAGCGCCGCCCACAGCATCGGCCAGTGACCCGGCCGGACCTGGCCGAGTCCCCTCGGACACAGAGCGGTCCGCGCCTTAAGTCCTCAAGGGACACAGCTTCTCACCCGCTCCGCGCTCGGCTTTCGCTCGTGAGGGGCACTCGAGGCTCCGCCCGAGGTTCCCCCGGTGCCCGCGTTGGGAGCCTCCCGGTCAGCGAGGGAGCAGGGTGAAGAAAGGGTTCCCTCCTCCCCTCCCCGGCCATGGAAGTCCGTGACTGCGAAACCTCTGGAAAACTGTCAGGGCTCCCATTTCTGAAACTGGGACCAGCCGGGAACCGCGGAGCTCTCGGGGAGGAGGTCCTGGGAGGCGGGGACGCTCGCGCCCTGAAGTCGGGGCGGCGCCGGGCGAGTGCGTCACGAGGACGCGCCGGACTGCGCACGCGCTCTGCGGGGCTTGGGAGCCGGCTCTCAGCGGTCTGTCAGTCAGGGCTTCCGCGGTGAGCTGACCGGCTTAGTCCTCCTCGTCGTCTGCGCCGCCATCTGCTCCTGGTTCTCGGCTTTCTCCTGCAGCGCCCTGTCCCCAGCCACCATGGCCCACTGTCCCGGGGTTCCCGGAGCAGTGGGCGCCAGGCTCCTCGTTGCTCGCCCCCTGCCCTGGGGTCCTGCTCACCGTGGCCAGCGGGGGTTTCTCCCCTTTGCCGAACGCCGTCCTCAGACCCAAGTTCCACCGGGGGCCCATTGTTCCTTCCCTTAGGGAGGCCTCAGGACTAAATCGGGGTGGTTATTTCTCTCTCTGTCGTGACTCCAGTCTCAGGCGTGGGAAAGGGGGCTGGCTGAGGTAGCCCAGGGGGTGTCGCGAGCTTCTCCAGTGCACATCCTAGCCGTCTGCGGGGCCCAGCCACCTGTGGACACCCGAGTGGCCGCCTGCTAACAGGCACGCCTGTAAAGGCAGCAGGAAGAGGAGGGGGCACAGAAGGCGACGAGGGTCGCAGCTGCACCGCTGGTGCCTCATCCATCCTGGCTCGGCCCGTCCAACTCCGGCACAAAGGACCTGTCTGGGACCCCGGGAGGTGGAGTCCCCTCCCAGGGACCCATGAAAGATGGCAGGACCGTGAGTGAGCAGGGCTTCCCAGGGGCGGGTCCCACGGCCACAGGGAATGACCAGGCCTCATTCCCTCAGCTGCGGGCAGGGCAGGGCAGGGCTGTGGCCCCCGAGGGTCTCCAGCGGGCCTGTGACCACCGCGCGTCCCCGGCGGCGAGCGGCCGAGCGGCCAAAGCAGATTAACCCAGGTGTTAATCCCCGCTAATGGTTTCAGAATCCGCGTGCGCGCGGCGCTAAGCCGGCCTTTCTCTGCCGCCCACGGCCCCGAGGCGGCGAACGAGGCCGCCAAGATGCTATCGCGGCCGCGGGGCCTCAGGCGCTAATCCCCCCACAGCGCTCGCCCGAGCTCCCGGCCCGACCGAGATCGCGCCGATTGGCGTTTGATTAAGGTCCGCTACCGAGGGCCCCCTTTGTGCGACGAGGCCCTAAATCCTCTAATTCCGTGATAAAGGCGGCATTAGCGGGCGCCTGCTGCAGAGAAAGGCATCGGGATGAAAGAAAGCAATCAGGGGGATCCTGATGGTCTTGCCCGCACTGCCCGGGGCGGGGGCGGCGGTGGCCTCCACCACCGGTGCCCGGACTTCTCAATTTCCGAAGCTGCCTTCCTCGCCGGCATAGAGAACCCCCCCAGCACCTCTGTGCTGGCTGCTGTTTGGGCTCAGATGGGCAGGAACCTGCCCGACTCCCTAAAATGCGAAACTTCTTGGTGGTTGCACAGGGACCAGGAGCCTCAGGGTGGAGTTGGGAGGCCCCGGGCCAGTGTGAGCTCTGGAGCCTTGGCAGAGCTGACCCGGGGACATGGGCACAACCAGGAAGAAGCGGGGGACAATAGGAAGGGACATTGGGAAGACCAGCGTGGCATTAAGTGGGAGCATCTGCAGAGAGCAGCCTCCACAGACGCAGGTGGGCAGGTGTGTCCTCACCAGGTGCAGGTGTGTGTGTGTGTGTGTGCCCAGGTGAACAAGAGTGGGGGTAGGGTGGTGACAGAGCTGAGTGCTAGTGGGTAAATCTGTCACTGGCATCCCATATGCCGTTGTCAGGTAGGGGTCTTGGCTGCTCTGCTTCCAATCCAGCTCCCTGCTGATGGGCTGGGCTCAAGTCCAGAGGGCCCTGTCCCGTTGTGGGAAACCAAGAAGCTCCTGGCTTCAGTTTGGCCCAGCTCAGTCAACAGACACATGGGATGGGTGTATTTGAGTCCCGGCTACACCACTTATGGTCCAGCTCCCTGGTAATCTGACTTGGAAAGTAGCAGGATGGCCCAAGTGCTTGGGCCCCTCCACCCAAGGGGACCTGGATGGAGCTGCACGTTCCTGACTTTGGCCTAGCCCCATCTGTTGCAGCCATTTGTGGAGTGAACCAGTAGGTGGAAGAGCTGTATCTTCTCTAACTCTGCTTTTCTAATACGTAAATAAATCATTTTGAAAACCAGTATGAACAGTTGCAGGGTGGACGACAGTGACGATGGGGCATATCCAGGTCAGGGTCCTGGGGATGAAGGGCGGGGATACTCAAGGGGGGCGGGGGCTG